GACACCGCAAGAGCGAATGCCCGAAAAATGCTAAGGGAAAGGGGGAAGCTGAGCAGCAGAAACAGACCAAGCAGCAGGGAAACGCTGGGAGTCAATAGCAGACGGGCCCTCTACTGGCAGGTCACGCCGCTCGCCCGACCCAACCGACCCTCACCGAGTGATTGTGCCGGTTCACGCAATTGACCACACCCGCAGAACAAGGAGGGTACTACGGTAGACAACCCCATACTGCTGAGTCGGAAAACCGGGACAGACTTAGTTAAAATATTCGTAGATTGGGGAGCAGTTTGGGACCAGGCTACAGTTCAGTTCATCGTACCACCTCGAGACCGACGGTCAAACGAAGCGAACCAATCAGACGATGAAGCAGTTGATTCGGGCCACGTGCGACGACCCGACAACTTGGGAACAGCAGCTGCCGCTGATCGAGTTCGCCTACAACAACGCCACGTCAGCGACGACGCAGCAGTCCCCATTTTACCTGAACTACGGGCAAAACCCAACAGTGCCCATGACGCCGAGTCCGGACCAGGGGCCTATTTTATCAGGGTAAAATCACCATGAAGCCCTGATTAACAGGGTGGTTTTTGGTAGTAACACTGATGCGGTAGGGTAATTTTTTAGGAACCTTGATTTACCCTGATGTGCCAGGCTTTACGATTAAGGAACACTGTCGCCTCAGGGTTGTCGTTCCTGTTATCGAGTTTTACCCTCAAGCGAGTACCAGCCAACCCCCGCGCGTCCCCCCCCCCCCCCCCCCCCCCCACTTTCCCCTAACCACCCTACCCCGTAACCTGGGATCCCCGTAACCTGGGATTCCCGTAAATTTCCGCACGACATTAGGTGTGTTGGCACGAAAGTGGTGGACATCTGACGCAAGGAAGACACCAGACGGCCTGCGAAATCAATGGCGCTGCCGACCCCAGTGGAAAGAAAGGGCAAAGAGAAAGTGCATAATGCTTGTTACTGTGCGCTGTGTTAATAACAACCAGGGCTCTCGTTATCAGACTAATTTGGTCTGATGGTCTGATTTCAGACTCACTTTTTTGGATTCATCTGATTTGGCAAACAGGATCAGTCAAAACCATGTCTAATGCCCGGGGGACCCGTCTGATAAATCAGACGTCCTCAGAACCTAGCAAGAGCCCTGTTTCAGCAGGGTTTGAAAATTTGTTACACTGATGTCTCAGGGTATAATATTCAAAACAAGCAGAAACCCTGATATATCAGTTTTTTCAACAAGGGTAACACTGATAATCAGGTTTTTGATCATGTGCAACACTGATCGCAAGGGTTGGTGAAAACCAAAAATTAGCCCTGGTCCGGACATCCCAACGCCACGCGCACAACAATTCGCCGAGATTCTGCAAGCTGCCCGCACCAGAGCCGTCGAAGCAATTAAAAAAGCCAACGTCATCGCTAAACGCAACGATGACCGCCAACGCCGCCCAGTCACGTACCAGTCAGGAGATTACGTACTGCTCGACACACAGAACTTAAGACTGTCCGTCGTGCCAAAATCACGACTGCGCTACTGTGGACCATTTCAAATCAGCCACATGATCACCCCAGTTACCGCTCATTTAATGTTGCCGATTGGCTGGTACATCAGCCCATCATTCCACGTAAGCCTGCTTCGCCCTTACATCCCGACCACGAGCCAACTGCCTCGTCACCGCCCGCCATCCATGACTCGCCCTGCATCGGACCGCACGCCAACTGAGGATAGCTGGGTGCCCCTGGCCAACATCGAAAACCACCTGCCCTGCAAGTGTACCTAAGGAGCCGTGGTTTCCACGATATACACGCACTCGCGTAGCGGAGGGGGCTTCTTGAGGGGGGGGGGGGGGGGGAGGGTAGTGTAAGGAATTTTCTCGCTATTCCTTACCGCGACCGTCAACATCGCGTACAGCAGCAGCCGTTGTTCGCCCGTTACTGCTAACGGGGCTTCACCAACTTCGCGCGCACTGTTTCACCAAACCTCGCACTTTTGGAGCAGCCGAGTCGGCCTACGCTTCGGGACTAGCCCGAACCTCGCGCCAGCGTAGCAACTAGCTAGCTCGCACGCACCGCGTTACTGTTTGCACATTTTCGCGTATAAGTATTCGCTCATGCCTTCGCTCATTCTTTGTACTCATTGAACACTTAAGTGCAATCCTTGCTACCTAGATTCATTGCTACCTTGAACAACTTTTAACAATGATAAAATATAGAAGAAATGCTGGAGAGCTGCTGTTCAAAAGATAGTTTGAGGGGGTGTCCAGCTCGTACATTTACTGTTCGTAAGCCCGCTCAGTTACCACATTTTTTGTTGTAACACTGTATTGAACGTGTCCTGCGGACACAATCAGCTTTCGTTCACAAAACGGCACGCCCCCTGCACGTACCTCATGTCGTCTGACTCACGTTACTGGAATCAGCGGGGACACGAACAAGGGTACAGCACCGCGTCCTGGCCACTACAGTAGCGCCCCCTGTATCGCTTGCACAATTTCGCCAGTAGCTCGCTACACTCGTCAACACAACCCCCCGCCTGCCCAAAAATTCGTTAGCTATGATTGACGACGGAAACAGTTACCTCGTTTTGAACGCGATCAGAGCACTGTTGATTCGTGTGGCGGAGAACGTGTCCGCGCTCCTGAAATTACATGTTTGGTGGGACTCAACTCACAATGCATTCGTTTTTAGGTACAGTGAATATTTTTGAACCTCGAGACGTGTGTTGGCACTAAAAACCCCGAAATGAACGAACTGGACACCCCCTGAGTCGGGTTTCGGTTTAGAGGTAGTTGCTGACGCGTGAGGAGCACTTGCGGACCAGCTTCGCTCACGGCACCTGGGATTCTGGGTGTGCTCAGATTGAGGGGCCTTTTCTGGATTGGGCTGTGAATGCAATACAGTACATGTAGTGGGTGGCAGTTTCCTGCTTGCACTTGCCCGGCTCACAATTGATGTACTTTAGCGGTTGGCTACGAGCTGTCCACTATAGAGCTGTATATTCCCTTTACCGCTTTGAACCGCTTTTTACCAGCATTACTTGTGAAACATGAGCTGCAACGAACGTGCGACCCGCCCTAAACTGCGATAAAACCCTTACTGGTACAACGCGCCTCCCTCACTTTCGTTCGTGGTGCTGGCAAGAAAAGAGCGGGGACGAACGACACGCCAACACGATCATTGAGGAAGCAGACTTGTGAGGTGGGGGCGAGAGGGTGGGGGGAGGGGGGGGTGCGAGCAGTGTCAAGACCTTGGACTATTTTTCAGGTCAGTACTAGCTGCCCTTCTTGTGTAAGTGCTTTCGTCCAACAATAGTGGACTACGCTGAAGTGAATCAATGGTTGTTGAGTGGCTTCCGAGGGGTGTGGGAAGCTTCAATTCAACAGCCAATGTTGTACTGTCAACCTCCCAGAAAGAGGGTCGACTTGCCGCAACTTGAGCGTAGGCAGTTTACGACTGAGGGCTTGGTAGATTGTAGATCGACGGCAAAACATCGATCCTCCACCATACTGTAACTTTGTTTAGCGCATATCCAGCGCCCAGATCCTAAGATTGTTATTTTCATCGCAAGCTTACCCAGAATATTCGTGAGGGTGTTTATCCAGGGTTCATGGCGTGAACGACGCACTGTAGGACAGATTCTCTTATGGTTGCTCACAATCATAGTGTCCTGGCAGTTTGTTGCGCGTAGCAATCAATTTGTCACGCCGTTTGTCCGTATTTTGGACTGTACTTCAGCGAATGAGAGATCGGGAACTTGGCAAACAGTAACCAAACGACCTTCCATACCGCGTCATGGGGGTTAGGGCGTGTCTGAAGTGCAAACGTCGAGTTTCGTCAAATTTCGTCGACGAAACTCATCCGTGGGACCCACGCGTGTTGGTGTCTGAAGTGCAGCCTGACATCCCTCGACGAAACTCGACGTTCGTGCACATGTCGAGGGATGTCGAACAGTGATACCGGGCAGCTGTTTGAGTCACTGTAGTCAGTGAGTGTTTCAAAAACAATTCTTCGACACGCCATGTCTGCATAGCTGTGGCAAACACACGTGAATAAGAACTAAGACGAGAGCGACACGTGCTAGAGAAATTTCGCTGGCAATGTGACAGTAGAATATCCGGTGTTACCAGCAACAATCTATGCTAAGCGAAATTCGCGAGATTGCAAACAATTGAGTTACATGAATGATTCTGTTAATTCCACGTCGAATTTTCATGGGCAACTTATAACAGTGTTCCTATGGCACGTGTGGGTTATTTTGTCGTGTGGGTGTCTGAAGTGAACACAGCTGAAAACGGATGTCGAGTTTCGTCAAGGAACGTCGACGAAAGTTTCGTCGGCAAACGTCGAAATTCACTTCAGACACGCCCTTAGCGCTCCGCAGTCGCCAATGTGCCGTACGCGGAGCGGCTCGCTGGGAAATTGAGCGCACACGCGGAGACATTGGAATTTGCACTCAAATTTGAGTGTACAGTAGACAGTCCTGCCTCGTGCATTCCCCCCGTTGTTCGCAAGAAGTTGCGTGACAGTAGCTCATGATACGCGGAGCCATCCGTGCTGGCACATGCTGCAAGAAAGCCCTACACAAGAAGCCGCTGCATATAACGCCAAGTACCTCAAATCTCGAAATAGAAACGCAGCAACAGCCTGAATCAGCCGCGACCCTTGCGTCACCCCGTACGCATATAAATGCTCACGGCAGCGTCGTTGGTGATCGTCGTATTTGACACGATATATTTTTTTGCCGTGAGACAGTCATACGATTTTTCGCGATCAATCGAGCTGATCGTGTGCTTCGGCCGCGCTTGTTGATCCGCCTACAAGCTATTTTACCATAGAGTTACGTTCGCAGCTGAGTTGATCCACAGAGTTTAATGCGGCCCGTGCCGGATTTTTTGTGACGTGCTCCCCTTCCATAATAGCGCGTTTATTTCCTTAATATAGCGCGATTTGTTCCGTAATTGCACGATCGTTACTATGGACCCGTACTGGGAGTGGGACGACTGCGACATTGGCATGGTCCTCGTCAAGCAAGAAAGCGACGCCGCTTCCGCCGCCGCCACAGCCGCCGCTGCATCCGCCGCACCCAGCGGCGGGGAGCAAGGTGATGCCGCGGGACGCGGAATCGTCATGGAATGGACACCCGCAACGTTGGCGGCAGTTCCGGCAGCAGGAGCATCCGCGGAAGCATCGGGAGCGGCGCTGGTGGCGGCATCCCCGCCGGGTGGGTTCCGTCGCCCGGCACTGACTCCGCTCATTACCCCCCCCAAAGGCGGCGACGGCGGCGCTCATCGTCCCCCTTCCCCCCTCACCAGCGGCGGCTGCCGCGAGTTTTCCGCCACCTCTGCCGCTGGCTCGGCACCGAGCCATTATGGGGCTGGTTCGGGGGGGCCGAGCCCCTCTGGCTCGGGACCCAGCCTTGCAGGCTCGGCACCCAGCCCCAGAGGTTCGGGCCCCAGTCCTGCAGTATCCACCGCCGCATCACACGCAGAGGCAGAAGCAGGGGCAGTGCTGTGTCCTTCTGAAACCGTACGACGGCAAGGAACCGTACCCAAGACACACAGCTTGAAACTGTACGTAAACTCAATGGTTTCTAGAGTTTGGTCATTTAGGAACCCTCAACTTCTCATCTCATCACCCCTCATCTCATCACCCCTCATCTCATCACCCCTCGTCTAATCACCCCTCGTCTCATCACCCCTCATCTCATCACCCCTCATCTCATCACCCCTCATCTCATCACCCCTCATCTCATCACCCCTCATCTCATCGCCCCTCATCTCCTCACCCCTCGTCTCATCACCCCTCATTTCATCACCCGTCATCTCATCACCCCTCAATTCATCACCCCTCATCTCATCACCCCTCATTTCATCACCCCTCATTTCATCACCCCTCATCTCATCACCCCTCATCTCATCACCCCTCATCTCATCACCCCTCATCTCATCACCCCTCATCTCATCACCCCTCATCTCATCGCCCCTCATCTCCTCACCCCTCGTCTCATCACCCCTCATTTCATCACCCGTCATCTCATCACCCCTCAATTCATCACCCCTCATCTCATCACCCCTCATTTCATCACCCCTCATTTCATCACCCCTCATCTCATCACCCCTCATCTCATCACCCCTCATCTCATCACCCCTCATCTCATCACCCCTCATCTCATCACCCCTCATCTCATCGCCCCTCATCTCCTCACCCCTCGTCTCATCACCCCTCATTTCATCACCCGTCATCTCATCACCCCTCAATTCATCACCCCTCATCTCATCACCCCTCATTTCATCACCCCTCATTTCATCACCCCTCATCTCATCACCCCTCATCTCATCACCCCTCATCTCATCACCCCTCATCTCATCACCCCTCATCTCATCACCCCTCATCTCATCGCCCCTCATCTCCTCACCCCTCGTCTCATCACCCCTCATTTCATCACCCGTCATCTCATCACCCCTCAATTCATCACCCCTCATCTCATCACCCCTCATTTCATCACCCCTCATTTCATCACCCCTCATCTCATCACCCCTCATCTCATCACCCCTGTCCTCTCCTCCTAGCCTTTCCTGCGGCAAAACCTTCTACCAGGCTTTATGTCCTCTCTCCTATCCTCTTACTAACCTTTCCTCTCCTCTCTTCTCCTCTTGCCTTCGCATTGCAGAACTGCACACCGTGCCAAGTACCTTGCACGTTCAAGGTCCCGGAGAAGCAGCACTGCTGCTACAGCACCTCCTGCTGCTGCCACCCCAGCTGCTACAGCCGCCGCCACTGCTTCCGCTGCTGCTGCTGCTGTCGCTACAGCTGCCGTCCCAGGAATGGGCGCTACAGAGATTGCAGCCACTCCGGACCATCCCCTATCCTTTTTCCGCTGCTCTGCTTCTGCTGGGGCGGTGTTAGATCGCCCCTCATCGGCTGGATCGATGATGGCACGCCCTGCTACAACTGGGGGTGTGTTGGATTGCCCCCCTCCCTCCCCTCCGTCCGTATCAGCATTCTTCTCCCTATGCTCTGCTCCCCAGCTGTCACCTCACGCCACACATGCTGTCTCTGCTCCTCCTGCCACAGCTGCTGCCACTGCCACTGCCACTGCTGCTGCTGCTGCTCTCACTGCCACTGCTGCTGCTGCTGCCACTGCCACTGCCACTGTTGCTGCTGCCCGAACCTGCAAGCGAGGCTTGGATACCACAGCAGACCACGACAGCGGTAGCAACCCTGGCACCTCCGGGCGGCGGAGCGGTGGCAGTGCTGGCTCCTCCGGGCGGCAGAGCGGGCGGCAGCGTGGCAGCAGTGGCGGGGTCAGCGGGCGGCAGAGGTACCAGTGGCTCCCGGTTGACTTGCCAGACGACGGGTACGACTGGTGCAAATACGGACAAAAACCGCTAGTGGTGGATTCCTGCTGTATCCGCTCCTACTACCGCTGCTTTCTCGGCGACCCCCGCCAGGTCAGCTTGCATCCTGACCGAGAACCCTGCCCGGCAAAAAAAATTGTTGACTGGAGGATCACACCGGGTGTTATCAGCAGCGCAGTTTCCTACGCGTCTACTAGTGGACGGTTGGAATCAGGAGCAGTAGCTGAAGCGGACCAGCCTTCTGCTGCTGGTTGCACCACTCTCCTCCCATCTGCTAACTCTACCCCTACTGGTGCTGATACTGCCGCTGCTGTCAGTGGAGTCGCCCATACTGCCCCTATCTCCCCTATAATCAACTACCTTAACGAGCATAACCATGAGGCACCGAATCCCCCTCACTCCCCGCCCGCCCATCTCCCAGCGCTTGCATATCCCCCTTAGACGCCTCCCCGCTTCCGTTACAGGCTTGCTGATTCCTGGGAATGCTACACAAGGCTTGGATATGGCTCAGGAATTACCTCCGACTGAAAACGCCCCTGTGGGAGATTGGGTGCAGAAGAGGGAGGCTCGTGTATCGGACGGTTGTGGTGGTAACCATGTTACAGTCAAAAGTGAGGGTGTGAGCATGGGAGGATCCACAATGGGAGCGGGAGCAGTGGGGACTTGTCATCCTTCAGGTTTTGGTGTGGGTTGTGTGGGTAGTGTGGGTGGTGTGGGTGCTGGTCAGATGGATGGACAGGGGGAGCTGGTGGGAGGAGGGATGTTTACAGCAAATCTGGACCTTTTGAGAGGAAAAGAGTCAGTGCAGCAGCAGCAGTGTTGGATAGCAGGGAGTGATGTGGCAATGGGAGGCATGTCATTGCCTTTGGTGGACACATGGCAGCAGCAGCAGCAACAGCAGCAACAGCAGCAGCAGCAGCAGCAGCAGCAGCAGCAGCAGCAGCAGCAGCAGAAGAAAAGGGAGAAGGAAGAATTGTCAATCTCAGCACTGCCAGCAGGCCTTCAGACGTCCCAGAGCGCATTTCCAGCAGTGGCGACAGGAGCAGAGGTAGAATCAGGATTTGGCATGGCATGCCCTTTTGAAACCACCTCCAAAGAAGCAGCAGCGGCAGCAGCATTGGCAGCAGCAGCGGTGGCAGGAGAGAAGGTAGAATCAGGAATTGGATTTGAGATGGAGTGTGCGGGAGCTGCGGCATTGCGGTCTCAGTCTCTCTTAGATCAATACCTGGAGCGACAGCAGCAGGAGCAGCCTTTCGAGTCGACTCAGAAGAAACAGAAGGAGGAGCAGCAGCAAGCATGGCACTCTCCACTGTGTTTCCCTGTGCTGTCATCCTCATCAGCCTTTACATCTCCCACCTTCTCTCCCTGCCTCCTCCCCTCTACCACTCTCCCCTCTATCGCTCTCCCTTCTTCTGCTCTCTCCTCTAGCGCTATATCTGACTCTGTTACCCGCATGCTCAGCCAGGTAACACCTTCCCCAGTCGCCCCTTCCCAGGCTGCCTCCTCACACGCCCTATCCTCGTTATTAACAGCTTCAGATGCTGGCGACCAGACTCCATCCATTCCATCCGGCTCCATTCCCTCCTCTTCTCCCCAACTTCCACTGCTTTCGAACCTCCAACTCCTATCCCCCACTGCAAACGCCCAAGCCTTCGCCTTTCCCTCACCCTCCCACTCCCACTCCCCCTCCCCCTCTCCCTCTCCCTCTCCCTCCCCCGGGCCGACCTCGCCTCTAGAGCCATCCTCCCCTGCCACTATCGCTGCTGCCTTCCCCTCGACCACCCCCGCTGCAGCTTTCCCCTCCACCAGCCAAGCACACACCCTCTCACCCCCTTCGTCCAACACCCGCCTCACTCCTGCCTTTTCCCTTCCTGCTAAGACCCATCCGCTCCCCGCAATCCCCATGTTACCTCAGAGCCGCAGCTCTCCTGCAGCTCCCTCCACAATCTGCAGCAGCAGCACCCGCACATGTCCGGCAGGAATTCAAGGAGGCTTGGCAGGAAGTTCGGCAGGAGGTTCGGCAGGAATTCGTGGCACAGCAGCAGCAACTGTGCGTGTGCAGCGAGCGCAGGATCTGGGGGTTACAGATGCTCCTTTGAGCTTGCTGCTGCTCGGCCGACGCAAGCAGCAGCAGCAGCAGCAGCAGCAGCAGCAGCAGCAGCAGCAGCAGCAGCAGCAGCAGCAGCAGCAGCAGCAGCAGCAGCAGCAGCAGCAGCAGCAGCAGCAGCAGCAGCAGCAGCAGCAGCAGCTTCAGCAGCAGCAGCAGCAGCAGCAGCAGCAGCAGCAGCAGCAGCAGCAGCAGCAGCAGCAGCAGCAGCAGCAGCAGCAGCAGCAGCAGCAGCAGCAGCAGCAGCAGCAGCAGCAGCAGCAGCAGCAGCAGCAGCAGCAGCAGCAGCAGCAGCATTGGTGGGATGCGTTTGTCGATGCTGCTCCCCTCACACAACTGATGCCCCTGACAATGCAGAGTGAGGGCGAGGGTGAGGGCATGGAAATGGATAGCCACCCGTCACAAGAGACAAAGGATGCGCAGCAGCACTGAGCAACCTGGCCTGAATTATTTCTCCTCCGTCCACTCCTATCAACCAGCTCCATATCACTGCCTTCTGCTTCCTTCTATTGTACCCGACTTCCTCAACCTCCTTCCCATACTCGCTACAAGCGCGATGGAATGTGTTGGCACACGGCGCTTGTAGCTTTTTGCCGCTGCAATGTGGCATGAAGGAGTGTTTTTTCAAGTGTGACGATAGAGGGAGGGAGCTACTAACTTCGCAGGGCTACAACCGCCGTGTGAAACATTCTTCTGGAAGGGTGACACCTTCCTGATTTCCTTCATATCTTTATTAAATTCTCTTGTTACATGGAATGCCATATAACAAGTAAGTTTTCCTGTTTTTGCTTTTGCTTTTTATTTGTACCCTCTGTTAAGAGTGCATCCTGCATGTTACTTTTGTTTAGTTATAAATAATGAAGTATCCTAAATGCTTGCTCCAATTACAACTTTGTTTGTGTGTTCACAAGGATAATTCTTTTAGCAACAACAAGCAAGCAGGCTCGAAGCTGGATGAATCCACAAGATGCATGTAAAGGAAAAATCATTTATGGTTTTTTTTGAGCTGGTTGAAGACTAAAAAACCAGGCAAGATAATACAAAATCGCACTATTAAGTTTAGCACTGGATTTCCCAAATACGAAATTGCGTACCCCCCATAATGCACTCCCTAACGCGGACAATACCTTGGGTGCCTCGTCCGCCCCATCCCCAGCCAAGGTATTGCCGCCATCATCGCCACTATCTAGGTTCGTCACCAGCAGCAGCACCTACCTTGGTCTACTGCCATACCTGTAACTCACGGAACATTTCCTGTCAGCTGTCTCTAACTATGAGAATAGTGAATAGCGAATAGGCACCATTAGCAGACTCTGCTCGCTCTCCCTCGGTGTGGGTGTCTTCTCGCACGTCCTCGCGGCCTGTTACCCTTTTTTGTAAATTTCGTGACTGCTCTCCAGCTTTCGTGAAATTTGACTCCCGCTTTCAGTCTTCCATTTTGAAGCTCTGTGATTCTAAAAACCGTCGGTTTGCCGGGATGGTTTGCTTTTGAGACGTCTCAAAACGGGTCAGTTTGGAAGAACACTTCCAATGATTGCAACGCTTTAGGGTTCCGTCTGTCGCTGCGTTTTCACGAACGTCGCAGCGGGCGTTAGCTTTCGATAGTAACATTTCTCCTGATTCAGTTGCTGCCGTCGTCGTAACGACTGTTCGCCGGCAGTCACGAGCATCAGAAGCCGTCCCTTTCGTCGCTAGCTTTCGTTACCTTTCGCCGGAGTTTCGCCAGCCGTCGCGATGGCGGGGAGCACGGACCTGACGAAGCAGGTGGAGGCGTTGCTGGAAGATCCGTCGCAGACGATTCTCATGGCGATGAAACTCTCCAAGAACCAGGCATCGTGGACCGTCGCCGGGCGACGCGGGCGGCTGCAGAGCAAACCGCGTATCCTCGCTATTGGCGGTGAGCAATGTCGTGTACTGCAGTTGCTGGAACAGTAATTTTAGGTTATTGTAGGTACGTCGTATGTATCATTGCTCCTACGGACGAGGCTGACTAGCAATGTCCGAAAATGAGTAGTCTCACTCTTTGGTCTTAGCTGATACATGCTGAATGTTGATGGTTTTCAGAATATTCCAAAGCTTTCCTCTTGGTGAAACCACGATCATGCAGTGCATAGTCATTAATGTTCCGGCATTTGAGGCATTGGCGATATGCAATTTAGGCACAGTTCCGACACTGACTAGCTCTAGGTCGCATTTACTCTCGGTCGGGTCCTTTTGTTAACTATTTTTTTGACGTCCTCCCCATCTCATTGAGTAATAGTTCTTTCATGATTCTCGCAATACATGTCGCTAGGGTGAAATTCTTGACTCAATCCTGAAGCTTGTTGTGACTATCTCAATCCTCACCGGCAGTGAGGCGCAAGGAGAACACGGGGAAACAGAAGCCAAAAATCCACATCATCAAGCCCGGACCTCAAGGACTAGAGGTCGGCGCTTTTGATTATTTTTGTTTTGTACGGTTTTGTTTTTTGTTTCAATCATCCCCGCACCTCCTCCTGATGTTGCTATCATATTACCAATTCTGGAACTGGCAATTGTCTTCCAAACCTGCCAGACCTAAAGCTTCCTGCTCAGCCCATCTGACTCTGCTTATGCAGTCCAGCAGCAGTCGTCTCGACTCTCACCCAGCTCCACCTCTCTCCTTATCTCCCTCCCCCCTTCTTCACCTTCCTTCCTTTGTCCCACCCTCCCTTCCCACCACCCCTCCCCGCGCCTTCCCCTCCCCCACGTCGTTCCCCTACCCACGCCGTCCCTTCCCCCCCTCTCTCCCCCTTCTCTCCTCTCCCTCCCCCCCCCCCCCCCCCACACGCTCCCTCCCATGCCGCAAACCCCCCAACCCCCCCCCCCCCCCCCCCCCTCTCTCACACACACACAGCTGCTCAAGTCATACCGATTGGGAGCCCTCACGAGCATTGAGCTAGTCACCAGTGACACCACAGGCCGCTCCTTCCTCTTGGTAGGCCTCTTTTTCACCCATTCACTCACTTACTCACTCTCCTCCTAGGCACTCGCCCTCTTACGAGCATCTCATCTCATCTCATCTCATCTCATCTCATCTCATCTCATCTCATCTCATCTCATCTCATCTCATCTCACTCACTCACTCGCTCACTCGCGAGCATGAAGCTGGTGCTTCTTTTGAACGTCTCAGAAGAACACGTGCATGTGTGGCATCTCATTTCATTATCTCCCTTCTCACCGCTTTCTTCTTCCTTCGTCTCTCCACCAATGGCGTGCTGCCAGGTGTTTGACGAGAAAACGGACAGCTCACAGCCTCAATGGACCACAAGGACAGTCGACGACAGGTGTGCCGTCTCTCACACATGTGCACACAGACATGCACACACATGCATGCACATGCGCACTGAGAGCTAGCCTCAATGAACCACAAGGACAGTCGACGACAGGTGTGCCGTCTCTCACACACGCACATGCATGCATGCATGCACACACGCACTTGATAGTTGCCTCAATGGACTAACAGGACAGCTCACAGCCTCAATGGACCACAAGGACAGTCGGCGACAGGTGTGCCGTGCCGTCTCTCACTTATACATGCATGCACACACTCACGTCCACACACATGCACACAGGCAACTTAAAAGTTGCCCATTCGACGACAGGTCTGCTCTCTCTCACTCGCGCACATGCAGGCCTGGCATCTGATCACGTCGTCCCCATCGCCGCCCTCTATCCCAACCCGCAGGAACCAGCTCGTATTTCTGCTGCTCAAGATGTGCAAGAACTACCTCATGAGGTTTCTGATGCGCCTCTTACCCTCACATCCCCTCTCTTCTTTTCCTGCGTCTGACCTGACCTCACTCCAACTGCAGGAACCAGCTGGTGTTTCTGCTGCTCAAGATGTGCAAGGACTATCTGAAAACGCTCCCCAAAGTCATTGGGCTCGATGTGGTCGACCTCGCGCTGTGGGCCAAGGTGGGTTGCGGTGGAGTGGGTACGGTGGGACGGGGTGGGGTGGGGTGGGTGGGGTGGGGTGCTGTGGGGTGTGGTGCGGTGTGGGTGCAATTCGTGTGCAATTCGTGTGTGAACTGGTGTCTTTCTGGGATAGATTAGTTGTTGCACCTCAAGACGTGCAAAAACAAACTAACCCCACATCCCTCCCCAACCTCTTGCTGTGCAAAAAGTCGTTGCCAAGGGAAGGGAGGCTGATGGAGGAGGGGGGGGGCTGGATTATGAAACCTTTTCTGATCGGCTTTCACCGTTCTCTACCCCTACCCTACCCCCATCCCCAACCGTGTAGAAAAACGCCAAGTCATTGCCAGGAGGAGCACGGCTGACAGAGGAAGGGGAGGGCGAGGCGGTGGGGGTGGAGAGCGAGTCGATGATGGCGCAGGACAGCCTGGTGTCTAAGGTGGAGGAGGAGGACATGGAGGCGCTGCTGGGCACGTGAGTGTGGTTCTATGTGGAGAAAGACGCTGGGGCAGCCCTGCGTCCTGCGTCCGGACGCAGCGTCCGGACGCAAAGACGCAGGACGCGCGTCCGGACGCAGGACGCACCCTGGAAAATTTTTCGGGCAGACCGAGATTTTTTTTTTCGCGATCGCGAAATTGACATTCGCGATTTCGTCGCGAATGTCAATTTCGCCAAAATTCGACACCCCCCAAGCAAATTCGACCCCCAAAACCAGCCATCTAATTCACCTTGCTATGAAAGTGTGTTCCCCCCCCCCCCCCCCCCCCCCCCCCCTCTTACCCCCTCTTCCCTCTGCCCTATAACTTTTTTTTGGCTGCCCGGGGGGTTTTTTTTGGCTGCCCGGACCTGCGTCTTTTGCTGCGTCTCGGGGGCCCTAAACTAGCGTCCAGCGTCTGGACGCATGCGTCCAGGACGCTGGACGCGTCTTTCTCCACATAGGTGTGGTTCAGTGCGGTGAAAGCCGGTTCAATGTGGTGACAGCCGGTTCAATGTGGTGGGAACAGGTTCAGTGCGGTGAGAGCAGGTTCAAGGTGGGAGTGGATGGCGAGGCGGTGGGGGTAGAGAGTGAGTTGATGATGGCGCAGGACAGCCTGGTGTCCAAGGTGGAGGAGGAGGACATGGAGGCGCTGCTGGGCATGTGAGTGCGGTTCAGGGGCGTTGAAAGTGCCGGTTTAGCGTGGCGACAGCCGGTTCAGTGCGGTGACAGCAGGTTCAGCGCGGTGACAGCAGGTTCAGTGCATAAAAATCAGGCTACCGTAAGCATCGCCTAATCACATAGCCGAAGGTACGTGTTGCCTGACTTGCCATCCGTGTATACTTCTTGTACCCCCACTTCCCTCCACCTCTTCTTTCCTCCCCAACTATGTGATTGGAATTGACGAGGCAGAGGCATTCAGCGAGCGGCTGAAGAGGGAGCTGGGGGCATTAGAGTGACCGACTGAAGCAGGCACTCAAGCTCTGAAACCAGCTTATTACTGTCACTGCTCACTTCCTCTGTATCTCTCCTACTCCCCTCCGTCTTCTCTTTCCCTACACAGCTATGTGATTGGAATTGACGAGGCAGAGGCGTTCAGCGAGCGGCTGAAGAGGGAGCTGGGGGCATTGGAGGCCGCGAACGTTCATGCCATTCTGGAAAGCGAGGCACTGGTGGAGGAGGTGAGTGGGACAAAAGGGAGGATGAGGAAGATTACCGTTTTGTTTGTTTATTTGTCTTTTTTTCTTTTTGTTTTTTGGGGGGGGGGCGGGAGGGAGGGGGGGGTTGCACTTGCGTTTTCATTTGCTCAAAGTTTATGCATTTCCTCGGTACTGTATGGTTGTTGTGCTGACGTGGCACTGGCAGGTGGTTGACAGCCTGGACGAGGCGGCGGGACGAGTGGAGGACATGGAGAACTGGCTGAACGTGTTCAACGTGAAGCTCAAGCACATGCGCGATGACATTGAATCGGTGCGTGGGTGACACTGAGTCAGTGAGTAAATGGTAGAAAGGTGGAATGATTGGTCCTCCCGTCCTCCTCCTGCCCTCACACCCCCCCACCCCTCTTCCCCCTTCCCCCTTCCCCCTTCCCCTCCCCACCAGACAGAGGCACAGAACAACATGCTGGAAATGCAGGCGGAGAACAACAAGAAGCTGCTGCAGGATCTCTTCTTCCCTCCCTGCCTTGCCCTCTCCCCATGCCCTCGCCCTCCCCTACCCCCTCTCCCGCACGCCCTCCCTCCCCCCTCCCCACCAGATAGAGGCGCAGAACAACATGCTAGAGATGCAAGCAAAGAACAACAAGAAGCTCCTAGAGGAGCTCGAGACGCTCCTCGAGTCGCTCTACATCCCGCCGCAGTGCATCCGCGTGCTCTCCTCGGGCTCCCTGGACGAGCAAGCCATGCCCAACACGCTCGAGGCCGTGGGGTGGCTGGTGGATGCCGTGAAGAAGCTGGAGCCTCCGCAGCTGGACCAGAATTACGTCAACATGCGCGCGGTATGTGCATGCATGCATGTGTGGATGTGTGCATGGCATAGAGAGTGCATGCCGTAGGGAACGTATCCGTGTGCTCTCCTCGGGCTCCCTGGACGAGCCCGCCATGCCCAACACGCTCGAGGCCGTGGGATGGCTGTTGGACGCCGTGAATAAGCTGGAGCCGCCTCAGCTGGACCAGAACTACGTCAACATGCGTGCGGTAGGGCATTGGGCAGGGTTTCATGCTTGTGTCATGTATGCATGCATGTGCGTATCAGGCAGGCATGAGCACGGGCTGGTGGGTGCGTGAAGAAGCTGGAGCCACCTCAGCTGGACCAGAACTATGTCAACATGCGTGCGGTAGGGCATTGGGCAGGGTTTCATGCTTGTGTCATGTATGCATGCATGTGCGTATCAGGCAGGCATGAGCACGGGCTGGTGGGTGCGTGAAGAAGCTGGAGCCACCTCAGCTGGACCAGAACTACGTCAACATGCGCGCTGTATGATAAGATAATGGACAAGGAGGGAAGTGCAGGTGTGCATATGCATGTGCGTACTAGGCATGAGTGTGGGGTGGCTGGTGGAGGCAGTGAAGAGACTGGAGCTGCCTCAGTTGGACGAGAACTACGTCAACATGCACGCTGTAGGACAGTGGGCTGGGAGGGTGATATACGTGCATGTATGTGTGCATCTGAATTTGTATGCATGCATGCATGCATGCATGTTAGCATGTTACTACTCAAATCAGTATCTCTTCAGTCCATGCGGGAGAAGAAGGTGGAGAGCTAGACAGCTTGAAGAACAGCTATGTACACCAGGTCACCATTTTCAATCCATTCTTTGTTCCATTTCTCTCTCAACATGTCAACCAACCCCCCCCACCCAACCCAAACCCACCCTCATCCGTTACTCCCTTTCCCCACCCCAGGTGCGGGAGAAGAAGGCTGAACTCGACAGCTTGAAGAATGGCTTCGTGCGGCGGGCCACTGATTTCATTCGCTCCTTCATCTCCTCCACCGTCGAGGCTGCTGCGGTACGGCTGGGCACGGGGATGCGCAGATAGGGTAACTGGTTGGGGTAATTTCATGAACCACGTTGAAGCAAGACAAGGATTGCTGGTGGTAATCGCAAATCTTCCTTATGTAAATTCGAGTTTTTATTTCATATGAGACAACACCGATGATGAAGTTGCCTGACAGCGGGAGTTTAGAAGAGTTGGTGCCTCATATGAAATAAAAACTCAAAAATCACATAAGGAAGAATTGCGGTTACCACCAGCGTTCCTTGTCTTGCTTCAATGTGGGTCTTAGCTGGGCAGCGGGATAGGTTTGATTGGCTGGGCAGCTAACAATTCCTGCAGATCCCTCCACCCACCATGCAAAACACCTGTCTTGCATCACTTTTCTCTTCTTCCTTTATCTCCATATCTCTTCTCCCATCCCTTTCCTATCCATCATCATCCCAATGTGATTGTAACAGAAGTAATATCCTCCTGTTACTGTGCCATTCCTTCCCGCCGTTCCCCCTCCCAATGTGACTATATGGGGAGCAGAAGTCTCAGAGGGGCCCGCCTGATCATAGGGAGCTGCACCGAAGATGGTCTGCCTACACCCAGCTCATCCACTGCCTTAAGGTGACGATAACGAGGATGACTATAACGAGGTTGACTATAATAAAGATGTCTATAACAAGGGCAATCCATCCCAACATTCGCCGGACAAACATTCACTCACCCACTCAACATGCTGCTCACCCCAGGACCTGGACCCCCAACGTGCTCAGATGTTTCACGACCAACCCCCTTCCTGCATCTTCCCTCCCGTTCCGCCTGCTCCTCTCTCCCTTCGTCCCTCCCTCTGCAGGAGCTGGATCCCAACGTGCTAGACAACATTCGGCGGACGTACATCCACTCACTCAACATGCTGCTCAGGCGCGAGGTGAGAGAGGTGCACGTGGCATGCCGTACGGTGCAGGTGGCATGTAGATGATGCGTGATGATTCAACCCTTCCTTGAACAGACGTACATCCACTCACTCAACATTCTGCTCAGGCGCGAGGTGAGACATTGGTGGCTTGTTCGATTGTATTTTTGGCTAGTAGGGTTCTCAACTGAAGTCCACTCCGTGCATCGACCCGAGTCTCAGTCAAGACCAACACAGCCCTTCCCTTCCTCAAGCAGCTTCCGCAGCGCGCTAACTGTTGCCTTACGTCACTCTCTTTCCTTCCCGTCTCTCAGGCTCGTGAGTTCTCCACAGATCTCCGTGCATCGGCGCGTGTCTCAGCCAAGGCCAGCACAGCTCCACCTGCTCTGGAGCAGGGCAGCGCTGCCTCCCTTTGACTGCATGCTAACTGCCCCCTTATTGCCCAACCTGCCCACCTCTCAGGCTCGTGAGTTCTCCACCGATCTCCGTGCATCAGCGCGTGTCTCCGCCAAGACCAGCACGGCCCCGCCTTTCCTTGAGCAAGGCAGTGCTGCCCTGCCGCCTGCTGCTGACTCCCAAGCTGCCAGCGACGCCTTTGCCAAGATGCTCCGCGCGTTCCTGCCCTTGATTTCTGAAGAGGTGAGTTTCTGAGGGTGTGAGTCTAGTAGTTTGCTGCTGGCTGAAAGCTGTGGAGTGCTACGTTTTCCTTGATACACAGCGGCTCCTTTGCTTCTCAAAATATCTTCACAGTCGACTTAAAAGTCCCCTTTCGCTCCCCCCTCCTTCCCACCTCCCTTGTCTTCGCCCACTACAGTGTCTGTTCTCCCAGCAGTCCTGTGGTTCTTAAGGTGACGCCTGAGTCGAGTCGAATCGAATATAAAATCCTTGCCCCTCTGTTTTCCTCTCCCCTACTTCGGTGTTCGCCTGGGTTCGTTCGGACAGGGTCTGTTCTTCCTTCCAGTAGTTCCTCTGCTTCTCCCCAGCAGACCTTGAAGTTGACTCCGTTTCCCTCTCTCCCCCTCCGTTTTCCCCTCCTCTCGCTACCCCCCACCCCTTGTGTTCTCCTGGGTTCTTATGTACAGGGTCTCTTCTTCCAGCAGTTCCTCTGCTTCTCCCCAGCAGCAGACGACGATGAAGAGCCCTTGTGTGAGTGTGCTTGACCATGCGTGTGTAGGTGCCCTTGTGTGAGTGTGCTTGACCATGCGTGTGTAGGTGCCCTTGTGTGAGTGTGCTTGACCATGCGTGTGTAGGTGCCCTTGTGTGAGTGTGCTTGACCATGCGTGTGTAGGTGCCCTTGTGTGAGTGTGCTTGACCATGCGTGTGTAGGTGCCCTTGTGTGAGTGTGCTTGACCATGCGTGTGTAGGTGCCCTTGTGTGAGTGTGCTTGACCATGCGTGTGTAGGTGCCCTTGTGTGAGTGTGCTTGACCATGCGTGTGTAGGTGCCCTTGTGTGAGTGTGCTTGACCATGCGTGTGTAGGTGCCCTTGTGTGAGTGTGCTTGACCATGCGTGTGTAGGTGCCCTTGTGTGAGTGTGCTTGACCATGCGTGTGTAGGTGCCCTTGTGTGAGTGTGCTTGACCATGCGTGTGTAGGTGCCCTTGTGTGAGTGTGCTTGACCATGCGTGTGTAGGTGCCCTTGTGTGAGTGTGCTTGACCATGCGTGTGTAGGTGCCCTTGTGTGAGTGTGCTTGACCATGCGTGTGTAGGTGCCCTTGTGTGAGTGTGCTTGACCATGCGTGTGTAGGTGCCCTTGTGTGAGTGTGCTTGACCATGCGTGTGTAGGTGCCCTTGTGTGAGTGCTTGACCATGCGTGTGTAGGTGCCCTTGTGTGAGTGTGCTTGACCATGCGTGTGTAGGTGCCCTTGTGTGAGTGTGCTTGACCATGCGTGTGTAGGTGCCCTTGTGTGAGTGTGCTTGACCATGCGTGTGTAGGTGCCCTTGTGTGAGTGTGCTTGACCATGCGTGTGTAGGTGCCCTTGTGTGAGTGTGCTTGACCATGCGTGTGTAGGTGCCCTTGTGTGAGTGTGCTTGACCATGCGTGTGTAGGTGCCCTTGTGTGAGTGTGCTTGACCATGCGTGTGTAGGTGCCCTTGTGTGAGTGTGCTTGACCATGCGTGCGTAGGTGCCCTTGTGTGAGTGTGCTTGACCATGCGTGTGTAGGTGCCCTTGTGTGAGTGTGCTTGACCATGTGTGTGTAGGTGCCCTTGTGTGAGTGTGCTTGACCATGCGTGTGTAGGTGCCCTTGTGTGAGTGTGCTTGACCATGCGTGTGTAGGTGCCCTTGTGTGAGTGTGCTTGACCATGCGTGTGTAGGTGCCCTTGTGTGAGTGTGCTTGACCATGCGTGTGTAGGTGCCCTTGTGTGAGTGTGCTTGACCATGCGTGTGTAGGTGCCCTTATGTGAGTGTGCTTGACCATGCGTGTGTAGGTGCCCTTGTGTGAGTGTGCTTGACCATGCGTGTGTAGGTGCCCTTGTGTGATTTTACCTGTGTGCTTGCATATGCATGCACATGCCTGCCTGTGCTTGTGCGCTCATGCTTAGACCAAGCTAGCCGTATGCTCTCACTCTCTCACATTAACCCACCCCCACACACACCACAACCCCACTCTTCAGCGGAGGAGGATGCAGCAGCGCTGGCAGCAGCAGCGGGGCAGCTATTAGAGGGCATGTACCCCCACTCCCCATTCTCTACTCCCTTCCTCCCTGTTACAATTCCCTTCCCTCAGCGGACGAGGATGCAGCAGCGGAGCAGCTGTTTGAAGGAATCCATGAGGACTTTGCTGCCATTGTGGAGTGGGTCTTCAAGGTCGACCCCCGTCCCCCCTTCCCCCCACTCCCTCCCCTCCAGCTGATGAAGATGCGGCAGCACTGGCAGCAGCAGCGGAGCAGCTATTCGAGGGAATCCATGAGGACTTTGTGGCGATGGTGGAGTGGGTGTTCAAGGTGGACCCTCTGCGCTGCATCACTCTCGTGGGGCACACGGAGGCGTGGCAGCAGCAGCAGCAGCAGCTGCAGTTGCAGCATGGGGCTGATGCCGGGGGGTGTGGAGCCGTTATTACCAGGAAGCTTCTGCTCGAGCTGGAGACGAGAATCAGGCAGAATTTCTTCCGAGTAAGTGGGAGGAGTGAGTGAGGGATGTTTGAGGGTGAGTATTCAGGTTTTGGGTGGTGAGGGAGGGGGTAGCAGCAGAGCAACTATTCAGCTATACGGCTGGGGCGTCAAGCAGGCGGGCGTGATGTCCTACCCTACGTGCCTCTCTCTTGTGATGAGTCTGTTTTTGAGTCGACTCAAGAACAGCAGGGGGGCGTGATGTACTACCCTACGTGCCTCTTTTCTCTTGCTAAAAGCCTCTCCCCCCCCCCCCCCCCCTCCCCCCTCCCCACCACGGCACACTCACAGTACGTGGAGGAGGCTAATGGGCGGATTGAACGGTACGACAGAGGCGTCAAGCAGGCGGGCGTGCTGTTGTACGTGCCTTATTCACGACTTACCCCCACCTCTCCCGCTTCCCCCACCCTGCGCCTGTCCCTTTGTTCCTCTCTCCAGTACGTGGAGGAGGCGAATGGGCAGATCGAGCGGTACGACAGAGGCGTGAAGCAGGCGGGTGTGCCTTTATTCAACCCATCCCTCTTCCTCCCTCCCCCCTGCCAACCCCAGTATGTGGAGGAGGCGAATGGGCAGATCGAGCGGTACGACCGGGGCGTGAAGCAGGCGGGCGTGCTGTCGTACGTGCCTCTACTCTTGAGTCGACTCAAAAGTCACTATGTGCCTCTACTCGCCACTTACCCTCACCTCTCCCCCTTCCCCCACTGCGCCTGTCCCTTCGTTCCTCTCTCCAGTATGTGGAGGAGGCGAATGGGCAGATTGAGCGGTACGACCGGGGCGTCAAGCAGGCGGGCGTGCTGTCGTACGTGCCTCGCTTTGCAGCGCTGGCGGTGCGAATGGAGGGGCTGGTCATGGGCTCGTGCAGAGACCTGGTGGACCAGGCTTATAACAAGCTGGTGAGGCGTGGGGGGAGGGGACGATGGGGCAGTGATGGGGGCAATGGTGGGGACGCATGGGGGCCATGCAGCATGTCAAGATGGCAGTGCGAATGGAGGGGCTGGTCATGGGCACGTGCAGAGACCTGGTGGACCAGGCCTACAACAAGCTGGTGAGGCGTGGGGTGGGGAAGAAGGGTGGGGAAGAGGGGTGGGGAAGAGGAGTGGGGAAGAGGAGTGGGGAAGAGGGGTGGGGAAGAGGGGTGGGGAAGAGGGGTGGGGAAGAGGGGTAGGGAAGAGGGGTGGGGAAGAGGGGTGGGGAAGAGGAGTGGGCAAGAGGGGTGTTCATCATGTTAAAGGCACCTAGTGTAGTGTGGTGAGTGACAGTGTTGCAGTGCTGGCGGTGCGAATGGAGGCGCTGGCTGGTTATGAACACTTGCAGAGAACAACATGCTGGTGAGTGAGGTGGGGGAGGAATCATTGGGGCAATCCAGGATGTGGGCACTCATAGGGATGTTGGTGGTCCGCGCGAATGGGAACGTGCAGGGACCTGGTGGACCAGGCGTACAACAAGCTGGTGAGAGAGAGAAGGGCGTGAAGGGGGGTGGGAATGGGTGCAGTGGGAATGGATGGGGCAATAAAGGAATGGAGGGGCTGGTCATGGGCACGTGCAGAGACCTGGTGGACCAGGCGTACAACAAGCTGGTGAGGCACAGGGTGGGGGCAGGTATGGGGAGGAATGGGGGTTGACTAGGTAAGGGGGGTTTGACAAGGGTTACATTGATTACCAACAGCTGCAGGGACCTGGTGGACCAGGCTCACAACAAGCTGGTGAGTGAGAGGGGGTGGCGGGCATAGGCCAGGATGGGGGCGGACTAGGTATGGGGTTGACAAGTGGCACCGCTGCAGGGACCTGGTGGACCAGGCTCACAACAAGCTGGTGAGTGTTCTCTAGCTCACTGGTGGTTGACAAGTCTCTACACTGGATCGCATAGTTCAGATCGACCCCAAGCACTGCACTGCTTGGGTGCCCTTGCCTCCCACTCCCTCTCACTCTTTCCTCCTATATACTCATCCTCCCTTCCCCACCCCAACCCTCTTGTCTTTGTCCTCCACCACAACGTGAGCACCATGTTCTCTACGCTGGACATCAAGGTGTGTCTTGAGGCGCCTCAAAACACACCACAACGTGAGCACCATGTTCTCTACGCTGGACATGAAAGCTCAGAGCGGCCCCAAGTACTGCGGCATGCTTTTTCCATCCCATATCCGCCTCTCTGCCACCCTACGCTCCCCCCATTGCCTTCCTCCCTTCCCCCTCCCTCATTCCTCCCCCCCATCATCTCCAGGTGAACACCGTGTTCTCTACACTGGATCGCATAGCCCAGATCGACCCCAAGCACTTCACTGCTTTGGCACCCTTGGGCCTTATTTCTCTCCTCCCATATCCCAATTCCCCTCTCACCCCTCCCCCTCTCCCCCCACCCCCAGGTGAGCACCATGTTCTCTACGCTGGACCGCATAGCCCAGATCGACCCCAAGCACTGCACTGCTTTGGCACCCTTGGGCCTTATTTCTCTCCTCCCATATCCCAATTCCCCTCGCACTCTTCCCCCTCTCCCCCCACCCCTACCCTAGGTGAGCACCATGTTCTGTATGTTGGACCGCATAGCCCAGATCGACCCCAAGCACTGCGACTTGCTTTTTCCATCCCATATCCGCCTCTCTGCCACCCTACGCTCCCCTCATTGCCTTCCTCCCTTCCCCCTCCCTCATTCCTCCCCCCCATCATCTCCAGGTGAGCACCATGTTCTCTACGCTGGACCGCATAGCCCAGATCGACCCCAAGCACTTCACTGCTTTGGCACCCTTGGGCCTTAATTCTCTCCTCCCATATCCCAATTCCCCTCTCACCCCTCCCCCTCTCCCCCCACCCCCAGGTGAGCACCATGTTCTCTACGCTGGACCGCATAGCCCAGATCGACCCCAAGCACTGTGACGTGCTCTTACCATCCCATATCCGCCTCTCTGCCACCCTACGCTCCCCCCATTGCCTTCCTCCCCTCCCCCTCCCCCATTCCTCCCTCACCAGGTGAGCACCATGTTCTCTACGTTGGACTGCATAGCCCAGATTGACCCCAAGCACTGCGATGTGCTGCTGCTGGAGAATCATGCGGCCTTCCAGAACAGGTGGGATGGAACACTTGCTCGAGTATTTCTGTATGCCACAAAACTACATGAGCCTTCAAGTCTGTATGCCGCAAAACTGCATGAGCCTTCAAGTCTGTATGCCACAAAGCTGCATGGGCCTTGCTGTTTCTCATGTACGGAGGTACCATGCCGTGAGAAGGGCCGGAGGCTAGAGAGCCCTTTTTATCATGCCCTTCAGCTCCTCTGGCCGTCCTTCATCCCTTTACCTTTTCTCTCACCCTCATCTCACTCACCCTCTCTGGCCCATCCGTCCTCTCCAGTCCCCCACCCCCACAGCACGTACGAGTTTTGAGGCGCCTCAAAACTAGACGTACCCTTCAACTCCTCTGGCCGTCCTTCATCCCTTTACCTTCTCTCTCTCATCTCACTCACCCTCTCTGGCCCATCCCTCCTCCCCAATGCCCCACCCCCACAGCACATACGACCTGGCGGGCACCATCCCCACGCTGCGCCTCTTCTACCAGCAGTCCATTCCAGTGAGACGTACGAGACTGCCGGCTCGAATGGCAGCCGCTCACCTCGCACTCATTCTCCCCAATCCCCGTACCCTTCCTCGCTCTGCAGCACATACGACCTGGCGGGGACCATCCCCACGCTGCGCCTCTTCTACCAGCAGTCCAGTGAGACGTACGAGACGGCATGCACGCGCTACATCGACTCAGTCATCTTTGGGGTGAGCCTTCTCTCCCCTTGTGTTCCTCTGCGTAAGGCTATCTGTGTGCGACAAGGGCTCACAAGAAGGGGAGTGACGGGGAGGGAGCGGAGTGCCTCTTCTACCAGCAGTCCAGTGAGACATACGAGACAGCATGCACGCGCCACATCGACTCAGTCATCTTCGGGGTGAGGGCTCTTTCGCCTTGTGAGCCCCTCTGTGTGACTCTGTATGTGCCCCTGCATAAGGCTCTGCGTGGGCTCTCTGTGTGCGAGAAGGGCTCTCTACAGACGGCATGCACGCGCTACATCGACTCAGCCATCTTCGGGGTGAGGGCTCTTTCGCCTTGTGAGCCCCTCTGTGTGACTCTGTATGTGCCCCTGCATAAGGCTCTGCGTGGGCTCTCTGTGTGCGAGAAGGGCTCTCTACAGACGGCATGCACGCGCTACATCGACTCAGCCATCTTCGGGGTGAGTTCCTGGGTGAACGTTCTTTCTCTGCGGAGAGTGACAAGTAGGAGGAGAGGGGCCCTGCTGCCACTCAAGTGAGACGTACGAGGCAGCATGCACGCGCTACATAGACTCAGTCATCTTCGGAGTGAGCACTCGCTTCAGTCATTCCCCCCCAACTGTCCGTCCCCGTTCCCAACACATCCTTAAACATTCTACTCTTGCTGTTTGATTACCTTCAGAAGATACCATTCCTGTCGCTGACCATCTCAATCTCTTTGAACCCCCTTGCCTGGCACTGTCCATTCCCCCTACCCAACACATCCATGTGACTCTACCTTTGCAGAATCTCGACAAGCTGTTCGAATACCTTCAGAAGATCAAGAACCTGCTGCTAACCATTCCGACTTCCTTGATCCCCCGTACACTCTGTGCATTCCCCCTACCCAACACATCATTGCAGAAGTTTGACAAGCTGTTTGAGTATCTTCAGAAGATCAAGAACCTGCTGCTGACCGTTCCGATTATGTTGACCCACCATTCTGGTTTTGTTGACCCGCCCTCCCTGCACTGTCCCGTCCCCCCCCGACCCAACCCATACTTGTTATATTACTCATCATTGCAGAATTTCGACAAGCTGTTTGAGTACCTTCAGAAAATCAAGAACCTGCTGCTGACCATCGAAACAGAGGAGGTATTCGAGCAACCTCTAAGCATGACTCTAATTTCATCTCTGTCACCGACAACATCTAAGCATGACTCTAATTTCATCTCTGGACTACCCCCATGTACCGCTGGTTCCGTCTCTCCAATGTCCTCTCCAGCTCGCAATCTTTCTGTTCCATACTACTACGTTCCATGTCGCCATGTCCCTAGCTTGCTTCAATTTCCATTCCGAATCGGGATGACTTTTGAGTAGACCCCAAAACCATCACCCACTTTTGACGCAAGCGACTCCCTCATGTTTCATTCTTTTAGTGTGTGCTTCTAGTTCCGTTTCAAATCAGCTTTGAGACGCCACTCGTTGTCCCCTTGCCCTCTTGTGTGCCTCAGATTCCGTTTCAAATCAGCTTTGAGACGCCACTCGTTGTCCCCTTGCCCTCTTGTGTGCCTCAGATTCCGTTCCAAATCGGCTTCAGCAAAGCAGACCTGCGGAAAGTGCTCAAGTCACAACTCACAGGGGTAAGCTGAGAATGTAACCATAAAATTGTAAGTCCATTCAAACTTCACCTCGATTGAGTTCCAAATTGGCTCCAGCATAGCCGATCTGCGGAAAGTACTTAAATTGCAACGCACTGGGGTAAGCTGGCTGGAATTGTGTAGGACCGTAGGGTAACGAACTGTTGTTGCTGCTGATTCTCCGCATTAAAGCTGTCGAGTTTTCGGTGGCCTCTCTAGTCCACAATCTGCGATAGCATGCTTGGTTGCCCGAAAGTTTAATTTCTAGTCACAGGTGGACCAATTGCTCAACTCCATGTTCAACAACATGCTTGGCGCTTTAAATGACTCTTCTTAACACCTTCGTGCATTTCTTCTTAACACTATTCCATTACTTTTTCCTTTCTTTTTTCGCGAATGGTTGCAGGTGGACCGATCGCTCAATTCGATGTTCAACAAGATGAGGAAAAATCTCACGTCAGGAGATCTGCTTCCCTCGCTCTGGCTCAAATGTCAGGTGAGAACACTGTCTGAGTGGAAGCATGGTATGCTCGTTGCGGCGCCCTGCAACTGTGCATTTGCTTTTTTAGTCGACTCGAACAAGCCAGGTCAGCACGTCTTGCTGAGTAGTTGGCTCCAAGTGTAGTGTAATAAGGGTGGTTCAAAAGAGACGCAACGGTGTGTGCCTCCGCTTCGCACATCACATACTCGACATTACTTCTGAGTCGAGTTAAGAAACGTGCAACTGAGTCGAGCATTTTTGCCTAAATTCCTCAATTCTAGTGCTGTAATTCTCAACTCTTGCTTCGTTTCTTGTCTATGGGAAACGTTTGTGTGATCAGGAGAGCTTCATGGAGCGGTACGAAGAATTGGAGGCTGTGGTGGCCAAGTGCTATGCGAATGAAGCTATCAGCCCGTCTTCAAGGGAAATGCGCGATGCCTTCAACTCCATTGTTGCGTAGTTTCCTTTTCAGGGTATTACAGCTGTGTGCATGTCATGTGCCATTTCATTTCCCTCCTGTGCTGCTTACTGTTGTGGGTGTTATGCAATTCCTACTAGTGTGCTGAATACCATGCTTGTGTTTCTATAAGAACGCTTTGAAATTTCTAACTCCAAAGGCTTATTCAATAGACGAATGCAGACTTGAGTGAACCTTCCCCCCACCAGAGCCCTGACAGGCAGGCTTCCGCTGGGTGCCAAGAAAGTCAACTGCTCGTCAAAACAGTTGGGCTCACCTTGCCACCACCACTACTGACGGAATTGCCAGCTGGAAAACCTTGAGCGCTTTTGTCGTACGCGCAACCAGTTACATTTCAAGCTATTCGCTCTATTCCCGAATGTTCGCTAAACGTCGTTCACCTTGTGGGACAACAGTCAAAGTGATGCTCGACAAATTACGACAATCTGTGTGGACGAATGTAGACGAGTTACGAAAAGATGGTGCTAAACTGTTGCGACTTTGTCTGACGACGAACTCCTGGCAACAATACAGTAACCCTGACGAGTTTCGTAGAACGAGCTTCTGTCAGATAGGCCTGGGTGTCCCTCGAGGTGCCGAGGGGCGGGGTTGCGAAGTGCACACACTGAACAATCGTGTGCGACGGTTTTGCGAATCTCACGAATGTCCATTGCGAAGCTCACCAACTCCCAAGGCAATCGTCTTCTGGGTCTGACTGGAGCCAGACAGAACCGAGGCTATGGCTTCCAACTGCCAATCGCGGATGGGAAATATGGAGATAAGGAAAGAGACAAAGAGGCTTGAAGTCTAGGCTCTGCCAGTGCCGTCCCCCGTTTCTTTTACATTCTCTCATTTGTTTTTCGTCTAGTCAGTAGCTTCTGTTGAATCACGAACACCTGCTGCAGCTGCTGCACCCTTCACATCCTTGACTTGCGCTGCTGCCTTGCTGGTTCCTCACGCGTGCCGTTTCCCCTTGCTCCGGCCGACCAACCAACCATCCCTAGTCTGAAAGCCGATTCGCGTCACGCCAGCAGCACCTCCAGCGTTGGTTGTTACCAGCCCGGCAGAACTTTTGCAGCTCAAATGAATTTCTTGTGGGCTAATGGAGCGTGTCGGGAATATACCGTCGTAATAGCTATAGCGTCACCGTCAGCTTTCAGTATGTTCTGAAGGGTTCCTCGTCAGCTACACTGACCTGGTAACCCGTTCGCAATTGATTTGCCATTGTAGTTACCTGTTGTGTCCCCATTGTCGCGAAAGTGGACCCTTCCAGGACCCTCGCTTTAATCCTTCGAAGCATTGCCCGGAAGTTCCGATGGACTGCTGTCACAGCTTTCTGATGACGTCACTAGAATAGCTCCTAGAAGAAATCATTTCTTACAAGCGAGTTGACTTCACGTCCAATCCCTGAAGAGTCGACGTTCACGTAAATATTCAACCCTAAATCCGTGCTAGGCTAAGTTACGACGTGCATTCGAAGACGGGCTCATCTAATATACACCACTTTCAGATGGTTACCCTAATTAGATAGTTACGACTCGACATCTCGTTACTGCTCGCGAAGGCTTTCGCCGACCAATGGCGGCGGCCGGATCAGCATTGACGTCGGTGAACGAAGGCGACGAGAACTCGCTGTTCTACGATGATCCCGATCTCGCCGTCGACGATTATATTCCCAAGGACCGTCATGGTAAGACGGAAAGGTCCTTCAAGGTTCGTCAAAGTCCGTCAAGACCCGTCAATGTCCGTCGAGGTCCGTCAAGGTCCGTCGAGGTCCGTCAAGGTTCGGCGTTTGAATCGACTCAAGCTGTGATGACATGGCGAGAACCTTCTTCTTCTACGCCATTGGAGGTTATGTTGCCACCGACCTCCACGGTACGAGGGGGAGGTCCGTCAAGGTCAGTCAAGGTCCGTCAAGGTAAGAACACGTTTTTCAAAATGCGGCTACGCACACAAAATGAGTCATTTTGTGTGCGCTTTTGTCGTCGCCGCCAGTCTCCGTCAGGGTAAGTGTCTTCGTCGCCGACGGTTTCCGTTTCCGTCAGTTTCGTCGAGTCCGTCAAGTGCTCCTTACATCTGTCCGAAACCTCGCCTCGACCTCCGCCTACTCACATTCTCGTCATCCGCCAACTTAGGGTTTCCGCAATCTCAGATAAGACCACGTTTCGGCTGAACAACACACCAACCTCCCTTCCTCCCGCCCCGGTTCCCCTTTCCGGCCACCCCATTCCCCCTGAAAAAAACCCTACTATACTCGAAGCAGTTGCGAGAAAACCTGTCGCATCTGGCCATTGAGAAGGGCCAATATTCGGTTAAAGGAACTCAGAATTCCGCCCCCCCGCTCCCTTCCTTCCGCACTCTTTTCCTCCCTGCCCCCTCTCCTCAACCGCTCCTTTCCCCTGCATAAACCGTAACGATAATTAAAGCATGTAGGGGAGCATTTGGTGGGAAGGATCTGAAGACGCGCTTCTCGGGAACCGCCGGAACCTGCAGCATGCCCCCCGTTTTCCCCCCCTCCCTCCTCCCCTCCTCCCGCCTCGCTTCCCGCAACCCTCGCCCCTGCTTCATCGCCCCTGGCTCCCTTTTTCGTCCCTCTCCCGCGCCCACACCCCCCTTCTTTATCCTTCACACCTATTCACACCCCTCTCTCTCTCTCTCTCTCTCTCTCTCTCTCTCTCTCTCTCTCTCTCTCTCTCTCTCTCTCTCTCTCCCTCTCTCTCTCTCTCTCTCTCTCTCTCTCTCTCTCTCTCTCTCTCTCTCTCTCTCTCTCCCGCTCCCTCTCTCCCAACCAGACTTGGAGCTGATGAGGGAACGCCTCTCGAAGCTGCTGTTAGGGGACGACCCCTCGGGAGGCGCCAAGGGCTGCGGGCCCGCCCTCGCCATGGCTAACGCCATCACCAGCGTCTCAGGTGCGTCAGGTGCAACTTCAGGTATGGTACACAGTCTCATCTCATGTGGTGTGGACTGTGGCTTTAAGAGCTGCGGGCCTGCCCTATTATTGCCAACGCCATCACCAGCGTCTCAGGTCCGTCAGGTGCTTTCTCAGGTGGGTTTGCCCGTTCCAGATTTAGCAGGTGGCGTCTCAGGTAGATTACACAATCTCTGGTGGATTTTAGACTCTAACAGCTCTATCTTCCTCCCTCTCATTCCAGCATCCGTGTTTGGAGATTGCTTTGCGACCGTTGAGAGACGAGGACAAGAACAAGTGGGGGGGGGAGATGTATATATGGGCGCGTATGAAAAGGCACCCCTGGTTTGTCTGACTTTGTCTCTCTTTATTCCCAGCGTCCGTGTTTGGCGACAGCCTGCGGCTGCGGCCCGAGAGAGGAGAACAAGAACAGGTGGCGGCGGGAGGGAGGTGGGCATCATGGTCCACTCAAGCACACCCTTGGTCTCTCTTCTGTTGCTGCAGCGTCCGTGTTTGGAGACAGCTTGCGACTGCGGCCCCTGAGGGAGGAGGACAAGAACAAGTGGAGGCGGGAGATGGGCATCATGGTGTCGGTGTGTCGACACATCGTTGAGCTGGCGCCAGGCTGGCAGACGCGCCCTGATGGCACGCGGTTTGAGGTACGGTGGGTGGGACAGGGGCAGGATCAGGGTCGGGAAAGAGCTGTGGGGATGGGAAGCGGGAGGGAGATGGGCATCATGGTGTCGGTGTGTCGACACATTTTGGAGCTGGCTCCTGGGTGGCAGACGCGCCCCTGATGGCACGCGGTTTGAGGTGAGGAGGGGTGGAGGGAAGGGAAAGAGCAGGGGTGGTAGCAGGAATTAGGGTTTGATGGGAAAGAGGAGGGAGGATGGTGGACAGTGGATTCCGAAAGGTTTTATGCTCATTTTTGCAGTTTTATTATACTCTGCTTTCCTCTGCTTTCCTCACCCGCCCCTCTGGTGATCGATTGGGGTTTTTGCAGAACACTGCACACTGCAGACACAGACAGACCCCCTCACCCTGCTGTCCTCTGCGCTCCTCTGCTTTCCTCACCCGAACCTGCTCGAAAATGACAGGTCATGAAGCGGAGAGTGAGGGAGGACCTTCGAATCAACCTCCCAGCGCTCAACAAGCTAGACCATCTGCTGCAGGTGCGTGGGCATATGTCTGTGTGGTGTGTGGGCAGGCAGGGCGTGTGATTGGGGACTGTGTGTGTGTGGGGTACCTCTTAGGCAGATCAACCTCCCAGCGCTCAACAAGCTAGACCACCTGCTGCAGGTGCGTGGTGCAGGCGTGTGTGGTGTATGGGCAGGGCGTGCGTTTGGGGAATATGTGTGTGGGGGGTACTTTTGAGGCAGATCAACCTCGAGGATAGGAATGTGCCAAAGGATCTCGAGACAGAGAAAGGGGAGAGTGAGAGGGAGGTGGAAGAGAGTAAGGAGCATGCAGAGGAGAGAGGAGAGAGAGATAGAGGAGTTGAAGTCAAAGCTGAAAGAGGCAGAACAGAGGGCAGTTGATGCACGGGCTATAATAATGGCCCGTGATATCGCCATTGAGGAGCATATCAGACTCCAGGCCATGTGCCACACGGAATGGGAAACATCTGCTTGTTTTGTTCATTCACCAGCTCTCTATACAGAACGTCAAGTTCTGCGAGAGGCTGGTAAGTGTGGTTTTGCTGCGCCGCTTGGAGTTTTGATTGTGGTTAGGACGGCGGGAAGGTCAGAACGCCATCCTAACCACAATCAAAACCCCCAGCAGCGCAACAAAACCACACTTACCTGCTTCTCGCAGGGTATGGTGTTTTGTATAGAGAACCTGGTGAAGGGGCGAACCAAGCAGACGCTTCCTATTCCGTGCGGCACATGGCCTGGAGTCTAATATGCTCCTCAGTGGCGATATAACAGGCCATTACTATAGCCCGTGCATCAGCTGCCCTGTGTTTTGCCTCTTTCAGCTTTGACTTTAACTCCTCTATCCCTCTCTTCCTCTCCTCTGCATGCTCCTTACTCTCTTCCACCTCCCTCTCCCTCTCCCCCTTCTCTGCTTGGAGATCCTTTGGCACATTTCTATCCTATTCCTATAAGGACAAGGTGGTGGGAGGTAGGAAAAAGGTCAATCTTAGCAACTCCTTCCCCTCCAGCCCTGTTTCTCTCCCCTTCCCTCCCCCAAGCCCCCTCACACCAGGGCATGCTAGAGCAGAGCACTTCCAATTGATTTTCCTATTGGGGGACGAGGGGTGGGAGAGGAAAGGTCGATCTTAGCAACTCCTTCCCCTACAGCCCTGTTTCTCTCCCGTTCCCTCCCCCAAGCCCCCTCACACCAGAGCATGCTAGAGCAGAGCACTTCAAGTATATTACTATGAGGACCAGGTAGTGGGAGGGAAAAGCTCAATCTTAGCAACTCCTTCCCCTCCATCCCTCGTTGGTCATCTCTCCAACATCCCTCCCCACTCATCCCCACCCCACACTTCCCTTAATCCCCCTTTACCAGAGCATTCTAGAGCAGAGCACGTCAAATGAGTATTATTATGAGGATGAGGTTGTGGGAGGGCAGGAGCCTAGAGAAGAAGATGAAGAGGAGGAGGAAGAGGAGGAGGAGGAGAGGGAGGAGGAGGATGATGACGTGGACGTTGATGATGATGACATGGATGGGGATATTGTGGATCGGGATTTCGATCTGAATGCTGACGTGACAGGAGGGTCGGAAGGAGGGGTAGGTTCAGAAAGAGGAGGGATAGGGTCGGAAGAAAGGGGGGTAGGTTCGGAAAAAGGATCAGCAGCAGGAGGAGGAGGGAGCGAAGTCACCAAGGGGGGCAGCATCAAAGAAGCCTTTTCTGGAAGGGAAGGGGGGAGAAGTAGCAGGGGAGATTGTGGGGCGAGCGGTGGGAGTGGGTTGAGTGGGTTGCGTGGCGGTAGTCCGAGCAGCAACAGCGGGGAGGATCAGGAGCAGCAGGAGGAAAGGCAGCAGCAGGAGGAGCCGGAGAGGCACGAATTAGATGACCAAGCATTGGAGCAGCAGTTTCGAAGGAGCATCTCAGCACCCACAGAGAGGCGAGAGAGTGGGGACTTTGCAGAGGTGGATAAGGAGTATGCGGCAAGGCTGAGGTGTAGAGAGGATGTGAGTGCGGTTGGGATGGGTGGGAGAGGGGGAAGAGAGGTGCGAGGGGGCAGGCTGCCTACCTCGGCTTCTGTTGGCAATGCTACTGCTGCTGCCGCTGCTGCTGCCGCTGTCAGGTTGGTTCCTGCCGTTGCCGCTGCTCCCGCTGCTACAGCTGCTGCTCCAGTTGCTGCTACTGCTGTTGCCGCTCCCGCTGTTACTGCTGCTGCTCCCGTTGCTGCAGCTGCCCCCGCTGCTGCTGCTACAACTCCTGCTCCTGCTCCTTCTGGCACTACTGATGCTGCTGCTGATGCTGCCGCTGATGCTGCTGCTGCTGCTGGTGATGCTGCTGCTGGTGCTGCTGGTGATGCTGATGCTGCTGCTGCCGCTGATGGTGGTGATGGCAAGGAAACTGATCCAAGCCGTGATGCTCCAGGTTCCACTGCTGCTCATTCTGGTGCCTCCAATGCTCCCGGGCCTTGCCCGTTACCGAGGTCGGGATCAGGTTCGAAATCAGGCTCGGGATCTGTTTCGAAATCAGGCTCAGGATCTGGTTCGGGATCAGGTTCGCGATCAGGGCCGGGATCAGGGTCAGGATCAGGGTCGGAACAGCAGGAGGAGAAGGGGCAGAAGGAGGGGGGGCAGGAGAGGGAGCAGAAAAAGGGGGGAGACGAAGGGATGAATTCAGGCGGATCCAGCCCCTCTATAAGCACATCATGGGGCTTTTCCCGCTCGTACACCTCCTCCTCTACAGTCACCTCCATTACTGCCACTTCTGGTAACAATAATAACAGCAGTACTAGCGGCAATGCTACTGGTAGTGGTGCTGGTAGTGGTGGTGATGGTGGTGGTGTGAAGGAGCTGGCTAGGAGGAGAACGACGGGAAGAATGGGCAGCCGCAGCTACGATCTAGGGGCGTTTGTGAGGGGCAGGTCGAAGGAGGCAGCAGGGAAAGCGGATGGTGATTGCATCTGCAGCAGCAGCAGCGGCGGCGGCGGCGGCGGTGGTGGTGGTGGTAGCAGTGGTGGCGATGGCGGTGGGTCAGAAGCAAGTGGGGCAGTGGCAGGAGCAGGGGCGGGAGCAGCAGGAGGAGGAGCAGGAGTAGGAGCAGGAGGAGGAGGGGGGGTGCCATGGCGGTGGAAAGTGAAGCCACGGATGAGAGTGGGGTTGTCAGAGGATCTGAGGAGGTGGCTGGAGCAGCAGTCGGAGAAGACAAGTCAGATTATGAAAGCATGCATGTTTATCAACCAGCAGATTCTTCAGGAGATGGATGTTCCAGATGCATTCTTGCAGCGATTGCCCAAGGTGGGTGTGTGAATGGGACAGAGAAAGGGAAAGAGGGATAAGGGCATGTACTTTAACCAGCAGATTCTTCAGGACATGGACGTTCCAGACGCATTCCTGCAACGATTGCCCAAGGTAAATGTCTTGAAAAGAGGGGAGGGAGGAAGAGGGGGGGGGAGAAGACATGTCGGATCACGAAGGCGTGCATGTTCGTCAACCAGCAGATTCTTCAGGAGATGGATGTTCCAGACGCCTTCTTGCAACGACTTCCCAAGGTATGTGTGTGGGTGAGATGGTGGGAGCATAAGTGGGGCACGCACGGGCAGGTGGGTGGAGCAGCAGCAGCAGGCGTGCATGTTCATCAAGCAGCAAACTCTTCAGGACATGGATGTTCCAGACGCATTCCTGCAACGACTGCCCAAAGTATGCGCTTGGGAGAGGGGGGAGAGAGGTTGGTGGTGAGAGAAGGTGTAGTTGAGCGTGGGGAGGTAGCGGGAGCAGCAGGCGGAGGAAACGAGTGAGATGATGAAGGCGTGCATGTTCATCAATCAGCAGATTCTTCAGGACATGGACGTTCCAGACGTGTATGGAGTGACAAGACTGTGGCATGGCGGTGTCAATTAAACTGCTGTTTTTCTACGTGGATTAACCAGCTTCTGTTTCCCAACCCCCACCGCCCTTCAAATCTCCCCTTCCTCTCCCTGTCTCCCCTCTCCGTTCCTCTCCCCATCTCCCCTCTCCACTCCCTTCCCCATCTCCCCTCACCTCTCTCCTCTCCATCTCCCCTCTCCTCCTGTCTCTCCCTCTCCTTTCCACACAGAGCTTGAAGACAATACTGGGAGACAGGGTGTACAGTGTGCTACTCTCAACGCCTTATAACGAGGATAAAGTGCTCAGCGCAGTTGATTTGAGCAATCAAAGGGCGGCTTTAAAACTGGCATGCAAGATGGAAGCAGCACAGCAAATCTGGATCAGGCAGCTTCAAACAGCCAGGTATGTGTGGTTCAGTGCGGTGCATTGTGGTATGATGCGCTCCAGTGCTGTCGTGTGAGGTGCTGTGCTCGTAAGGCGGCATTAAAGCTCGCTTGCAAGATGGAAGCAGCACAGAAGATTTGCATCAGGCAGCTTCAGGCAGCCAGGTACAACGTGGTTTAGAGTGGTTCAGTGAGGTGGATTGTGTGTGGCAGCTTCCCCTTTCTCCCCACACACCCCGCTTGCTTTCCCTTGAACTCAATCCTCCCGCCAATTCCCCACTTTCCCCCTTCGCGCCCTCTTCCTGACTTTCTTCCCAAACAATCCGGTCTCTGCTCGTTTCTTCCATTGAATGGCAATTTTTTTTGGGCGCTTCGAAAGTTTGTCCCGTTGCTCCCATTGGATGGCAGTCATTGTCCAACCCATGTTCCAAAAATAACATCCTTATCTGTAAATACGCCCTACTTGTGAGATGCTCAGACCCAACGCTCTTCCCCGCCCCCCCGCCCCCCCCTTCCTTCCCCTCCATCCTTCACATTTTCACCCCGGATGACGAACAACACAGGTCAACACAGAAGTCAACTCTTCCCCCATCTCCCCCCCTTGCCCCCCTTCCCTTCGCTCCCCCTCCTCTCGCCCCTCTCCTTACCCTCCGTCCTTCACAATTCCACCCTGCTTGTCGGCCAACTCAGGGAGCCCTATCTCACGCACACGCTGGGCGGCAGTTATTTGTCCACTAGCAGCCGCGAGATCATGCGGTTGGAGGAGAATCTGGAGCGGGTGGCAGCGTGCCTCGCTGCCATCCGCCGCATGTGGCCGGACCTCCCCCAAACCACTCTGGACCTCGCCAAAATCGCATTCAACCGGGTACGAATACCTTGTGTAAAATGTCTGGTCATGATTCGGCAGTGGGGGGGGGGGGAGTGGTATCATGCGTGCCTCGCTGCCATTCGCCGCATGTGGTGGGCCGACCTCCCCTCCAGACCACTCTGGACCTCGCCAAAATCGCTTTCAACCGGGTACGAATACCTTCTGTAGGGTGTCTGGTCATGGTTTGCCAGTGGGAGGGAGGAAGTGGCAGCGTGCCTCGCTGCCATCCGCCGTATGTGGCCCGAACTCACCCAGACCACCTTGGACCTTGCCAGAATCGCATTCAACCGGGTGAGTGTGCTGATCCAATCCGCCTAACAACGTCCGGTTAGGCTCTTTGTCCTGAGCTCTCTTTCCTGGCCTCTCTTTCCTGGCCTCTCTCTGCAAAGCAGACCCCCTCTTCAGCACCTGCGCCAACCCACCTTCCCCTCGACATCCGCTCTCTCCCTCCCTCCATTCTCCCTGGTGATCTCCCCCCTGCTCTCCCTGCCCCCACCACCATGCCATCAGGACATCGGCAAGGCAGTTCTAGAAAGCTACTCTCGAGTGCTCGAAGGGGCTGCCTCTAACATCCGAGCGCGCCTGCGAGACGTGCTTCACGCAGATCACCTTTTCAACAACCCCCAGCTCTTCCCCTTGCAAGACGCACCCTCAGACCCTCGCCCGCAGCACCTGCGCCACCCCACCTTCTCTCTCCTCATGCCAGACACTGTCTTTGACGCGGTTTCAGTTTCTGGAGGGAGTGAATCTTCAGCGAGTATTCGCAGCTTTGAGTCGAGCAGGAGTGGGAGCAGCGGGAAGGGCGGGAGGCATTTCCGGGGTGGGAGTATGGTGTCGGATTCGGGAGTGTCGAGCCCTGGCGGGGGTGGGGGTGGAGGTGGAGGTTCAGGTGGGATTTCAGGTGGGAAGTCAGGTGGTGGGAGGTGGGACATGCGGCCGCCCAGGAGTCCCGAGTTGCGGATTTCGTCTGTAGCGCCGGCAGGTATGAGCCGGTTGGGTGGGAATGGGAGCGGTGGAAATGGGAGCAGCAGCGGGATGAGTTTCCGGGATCGGTTTCGGAGCGCCACTCTAGCAGCCCCCACCACCAGCGCTGCTGCCGCCACTACCGCTGGTGCTGCTGCTGATGCTGCTGGTGGTGGTGCCGTTGGTGATGCTGCTGCTGCTGGTCCTGGGTCTGGTGCGATGGGGTATTCCCAGTCACTACCAGCACACGAGCCCAAGCAGCAGCAGCCATACCTGCGCAGAACAGGGTCGTTTCAACCGAGCTCCCAGAGCCGATTCGGCGTGATGCGGACGGTAAGGAGGAGTCAAAGCGGGGGGCTGGAGGAGGAGGTGATGAGGCTGAAGCTTGAAGCAGGGGAGGCTGGAGGGGACTCGCCTGTCCTGACTAAGACCCCAGGGTTCGTGCTTGTGTCAGCGTCGCAGAGTGGTGGTGGTGGTGGTAATTCGGGGGGGTTCTCTTCACGACCGCCCCACCCACCCAATCGCTCCGCTAGTGGTGATTGGACGTAACACGGTCAACGTTACGATAGTATACATTTTTCATTCCTAGAGTAGACCAATCGAAATGTCGGTTTCTTGTGGAAATACGTTGAGAGCTGTCGTGCATTATTAATCAACCAGTCTATATACGTTGTAGACGGAAATCCGGAAAAAATAGTTGTCAGCTGAATGCTGAATGGATAAATTCCTAGAACCTTTGGGAAGAAACAAATGTTGAATCGACAGTACTGTATCATTTTTTGGGCATAGGACCCTGGGTGACAGTGCAGGCTACCCCCTGTGCCCAGGGTACCTTGGGTTATTATGTGAAGGGTTAGTAAGAACACTGTAGAATCACATTTTGACTCAAATGGGTGTTTCCACTGAGAACTGACGCGCTAATTAGCAAACACAATGCTGTAGGCACTACCAAACAAATGAAGCGTCGTTCAATTCGAAATATCGAAGGGGATTGGGTTGCATGTCACATACCGGAATCTCACAATGTGAAAGCATTGTTGTACCACCGTATAACAATGCTCAAAGGTATATACTGTAGTCCACACTCCACACCCACTAGAGAAATGTAACACCAGCATGGTTTAGTTAGAAGTATTTGCAACAATGAAACAAGTGCACAGAGCCGCTCTGTATCCCCCCCCAGCATGGTTTAGCAGTCACAACTCCTCCCCATTCTCCCAAACTCCGCAACAAATCCCACTTAGCGCTTTCTCCCAGCCTCCTCTCTCCCCCATAAATACCTCCACTCTTCAACACCCTCCCTCCCTCCCTCTCCCCGTCCCTGTAAGGTGCTTCTACTGCCATTCCGCCTCTGCCTGAATGATGTACACAACAGCGGCTAATCCAATCACTACTCTAGCTGAAGTTTCCGAATCCAGAGTCCTCTCATTGCCTCGCTTATCCTATCACTTTCTCATCCTCCCGTTCCCTCATTCGCCCTACCACCCTCTCTCATCCTCTTGCTCATCCAGTGAGCCCCATCATCCCAATCACACCACCAAAGCCTGAACCCCCCCAAGCAGATTGCACCCCCCATGCTGGCTTGGGTGCTGCTGCTGCCTCCACAGCTGGTGCTGCCGCTGGTGGTGCTGCTGGGACAGCAACAGGCGCAGGAGCAGGCACAGGAGCAGCAGGTACAGCCGCAGCAGCAGGGGCAGCGGCAGGGGTGGCGGCAGGAGCAGCAGGAGCAGCAGGGGCAGTAGCAGCGGGGCCAGCGCCTCCTTTCCTCCCTGCCCCCCGCTCCTGTTTCTTCCCAGAGGCACCTGGAGCGGCAGCAGGCACAGCGGCTGCTGCAGCAGCAGCAGCAGCTGCGGCAGAGGCGGCAGCGGCAGAGTTGGCGGCTCCTGCCTGAATGGCAGCATACTCTTGGTGCACCTGAGAGGGGGTGGCGGGGAAGGGAGGGGAGGGAGGGGAGGATTGAGTTGAGAGGGAAAGAAGGTGTGTGTGAGGCATGCGGCCTGGAGCGGCCAAGGCAGCAGCTGAGTTGGCCGCGCCTGCTTGGATGGCAGCATATCTTGGTGTACCTGAATGGGGGGGAGCGGGGAGGGGAAGGAGGGAGGATTGAGTTGAGAGAGGAGGGTATGGAGTATGAGAGCAGTAGCAACTGCAGCTGCAGAGGCAGCGGCAGAGTTGGCGGCGCCTGCTTGGATGGCAGCATACTCTAGGTGTACCTGATAAGGGGTAGAGGGGAGGGGAGGGAAGGAAAGGTTTGAGACGGAAAGAAAGTGGAGAATGGGGCTGAAGCAGCAGGATCGCTGTAATCTCATTCTCACCTGGTGCAGCGTGACGCCTATCTGCTGCAGGAAGTCATTGACTGATGGCATGGGCGGCAGCAGCGCCACTGCTGCTGAGTGCACAGCCATGTCCTTGTAACAGCACACAAGGCACTCACGCTTCACTGCACCCACTCGCCCACATGCATACCTGGTGCAGCGTGACGCCTATCTGCTGTAAGAAGTCGTTGACTGACGGCATGGGCGGCAGCAGCGCCACTGCCGACCGCAGCTGTGGCTTCTGCAGTGCTGCTTCGAGCGCCTCTGCCTCCGCCATGACTGACTGCACTTCATTCACTCGGGTCTGACGTTGAGAGGGATAAATGGTACCAGGTAAGAGGGACAGGAGAGTATAGAAGGGGACAGCTGAGCACTGCTGACGGCAGCTGGGGCTTCTGCAGTGCTGCTTCCAGCGCCTCTGCCTCGGCCATGACTGACTGAACTTCATTCACTCGGGTCTGACGTTGAGAGGGATAAATGGTACCGGGTAAGAGGGACAGGAGAGCATAAAGGGGGGAGGTGAACACAGGGAGGCCACAGCTGCGGCTTCTGCAGCGCTGCTTCCAGCGCCTCTGCCTCCGCCATCACCGATTGGACCTCAGAAACACGAGTCTGTTGTTACGGAGAGTAGAGGGCAAGGGGTAAGGGAGACAGGAGGGCATATCAGGGGGCAGGTGGGCACTGGGATACAGCAGCTGCGGCTTCTGCAACGCTGCTTCCAGCGCCTCTGCCTCCGCCATCACCGATTGGACCTCAGAAACACGAGTCTGTTGTTACGGAGAGTAGAGGGCAAGGGGTAAGGGAGACAGGAGGGCATATCAGGGGGCAGGTGGGCACTGGGATACAGCAGCTGGGGCTTCTGCAGCGCTGCTTCCAGCGCCTCTGCCTCTGACTGAACTTCGTTCACTCGGGTCTGACATTAAGATGGAAAAGGGGTAAGCAGGACAGGAGAGCATAGAAGTGGGCAGGTGAGCACAGGAGCACAGGAAACACAGGTGGTTGTGTGGGCGGATCAACCACCCAGAAAATCACCCTGCCCTGCAATTACCCTGCCATACAATCACCCTGCACCACCATACACCACCATGCACCACCATGCACCACCCTGCACCACCCTGCACCATGCATCACCATGCCCCACCTTGCATCACCATGCCCCACCCTGCATCACCATGCCCCACCATACGTCACCGTGCCCCACCATGCCCCACCATGCACCACCATGCATCACCGTGCCCCACCATGCCCCACCATGCACCACCCTGCACCACCCCGCACCACCGCACCTTGTGCATCTGCTCAATGGCTTGCAGTGGCCTGGCGAGAGCTGCGGCCTGCCAAAGAGCAAAACAGGGGAGGGAAGGGGAACAAACACGGGAGAGGGAGGGAAGGGGAACAAACATGGGAGAGGGGAAGAAGGGGAACGAACATGGGAGATGGGAGAATGAAAATGGGAGATAAAATGGGAGATAAAATGGGAGAGGGAAGGAAATAAAACAGAGCTTTTCCAGCAGCATGACAGGCAGTGGTGCAAAACCATGACGGCCCAGCAGCGTGACACCCCATTCCCCCACAAGACGACTCACCAGCTGCGGCTTGCCCTTCAGAGCGTCCTTCCCCCTCTTCATCCTCTGTTGCAGCTAAGGTGACTGTTGAGTCGACCCAACAGGGCAGCACCCCGTTACCCTAAACCCGAAACCCTCAACTCACCAGCTGCGGCTTGCCCTTCAGAGCGTCCTTCTCTGCCTTCATCTTCTGCAGCTTCTCCTGCGAAAACTGCAGGCGCTCTCCGGCTCTGATGGTGGTGGAGAGTGGCGGAGGGTGGTGGAGGGTGGGGGAAGGTGGGGGAGGGTTGGGAGGATAAGAGGGAGAGCGTCCTTCTCCGCCTTCATCTTCTGCAGCTTCTCCTGCGAAAACTGCAGGCGCTCGCCGGCCCTGAGAGGGTAGGAGGGGGTAGGGGAGGGTTGGAAAGAGTTGGGAAGGGTGGAGGAATGTTGGGGAAGATGGGAGGGGGAGCGTCCTTCTCAGCTTTCATCTTCTGCAGCTTCTCCTGCGAGAATTGCAGGCGCTCGCCGGCCCTGAGAGGGTAGGAGGGTAGGCAAATCACCACGTGTGGCAGACGAGGCATAAAAAAGAGAGGGGAAAGCGCAAACAGAGGGGAGGGCTCGAGTGCTCGTCGAGGGGAGGGGAGGAATCACACGTGCTCTTTCGCTCTCGTCTTCCGCAGCCTTTTCTGGAGAACTTGGCAGCCTATTTTTGAGTCGACTCAAAGATCTGCTCTTTCGCTCTCGTCTTCCGCAGCCTTTTCTGGAGAACTCGGCAGCACGGGTTTTCCAACTCGAGCTTTGGGTTTTCCGGCACGGGTTTTCCAACTTGGCAGCAAACAGAGGGGAGGGCTCGTCTTCCGCAGCCTCTTCTGGAGAACTTGGCAGCACTTGCAAGCTCTTCAGGTAAAACGGGTTAGGGTGGGCTGGACATGGAGGGGGGAGGAGAGTGGGGAAGGAGAAGGAGAAGAGGGTGGGGAAAAGGAATGCGGGCATTGACATGGATGGGGGAGTGAGGGGAGGGAAAGGGGAGGAGGGTGGGGGGAAGAGTATGAAAACGAGGGATGGGGCGAGGGGTGAGAAAACAGGCCACGAGGTCACAAGCGCCAACAGGCAAAGGCCAAAGGGGCTTACGATTTGAGTTGATCAAGCTTGGCGTGCAGCAGGGCGGAGAGCGCACTGAGGTGATTCTCCACCGCTTGACCCACCACCGCCATCACTGCTGCCTCCCGATCGGGAGCTCCCTGCGAGTGTGTAGGTAAGGGAGAGGAGTAGTTGAGTTGTGAGGTGCCTCAACATCTGGCTGGCGTGCAGCAGGGCGGAGAGCGCACTGAGATGATTCTCCACTGCCTGACCCACCACCGCCATCACTGCTGCCTCCCGATCGGGTGCTCCCTGCGAGTGTGTGGGTAAGGGAGAGGATGGGGAGAGGAGAAGGGGGAGCAGTGGGAGAGCACAAGGCAGGCAACAGAGGATATTTGTAAGAATATCAATTTGAAAGTGGGGAAGGTTGATTGGGGGCGGGAAGAGTTTTGAGACATTTCAAGAATGTGAGGGTGTTAAACGGAGACAGAGAAGGACGAAGTCGGGGGGTTGGGGGTGGGAAGGAGGGGAGGGGAGAGGGTATGGGGAGAAACGACACATAGGCAGGTCCAGCAGTCTCACTCACCGAGAAGGGCCCTCCTGCGTGCCCTGGCAGGGGCATGTGCGGGCGCTGCAGCACAGACTCGAGAGCATGTACCACCCCCAGCTGCTGCGCACACCGCAGCTGGTGCAGCTGCTCTGGCGTCAGCTGTGGCCCCTCCTGCCCTTGCTGCCCCTGCTGCTGCTCGGGTTGAACCGCTGCTACTGGCGCTACTGGTGCCGGGACCCCGTTCTGGGCTGCTGCTGCTGCCGGGGACTGGGTGGGGGGAACAAGAGGGTAGGGGAGAAAAAGGGAAGGAAAGGGGCGGGAAGGGGAGAAAACGGCAGGGGAAAGGGGAGGGAAGGAGGGAGCGAAGGGAGGAGACGCAAGGGGAGATAGCATGAAGTCATGAACGGACTCGAGACGAGAGCATGCACCACCCCCAGCTGCTGCGCACACCGCAGCTGGTGCAGCTGCTCTGGCGTCAGCTGCGGCCCCTCCTGCCCTTGCTGCCCCTGCTGTTGCTGCTCGGGTTGAATAGCTGCTGCTGGTGCAGGGACTCCGTTCTGGGCTGCTGCTGCTGCTGCAGCTGCAGGGGACTGGATGGGGGGAGAAGGGGGTTAGGGGAGAGTAGTGGAGAGGAGAGAAGGGACGGAGAGGAGGAGAGACAAAGGAATCAATGGGAGCGAAGGGAAGAACTGGAGAGAAGAGGCGAGAAGGGGAAAGAAGGGGAGAGAAGGGAGAAGGAGAGCGAAGAGGGGAGAAGGGGAGAGAACGGGAGAGAAGGCGAGAAGGGGAGAGACAAAGGGAGAGAAGGAGAGAAGGGGATGAACATTCAATCCAGCACCCTCAAAGACTCGTCCTCACGAGTTTCGGACTCTGCCCCATTGCTTCTGCCTCTACCTCTGCAGCCTTTCTCCCTGACATACACAAGTCAAGTCTGAACTCACCTTCGCACCGCCAGCAGCAGCAGCAGCAGAGGCAGCAGCCAACACCTCCTCAAGCTGCTTCCGCCTCGCATCTGCATCCAACCACAGCACCCGCAGCCTCGATGCCTCTGCCTCTGTCTCACCATCCTTTCCTTCTAACAAACACAAGTCAACTTCGAACTCACCTTTCCACCACCGCCAGCAGCAGCAGCAGAGGCAGCAGCCAACACCTCCTCCAGCTGCTTCCGCCTCGCCTCTGCATCCAACCACAGCACCCGCAGCCTCGATGCCTCTGCCTCTGTCTCACCATCCTTTCCTTCTAACAAACACAAGTCAACTTCGAACTCACCTTTCCACCACCGCCAGCAGCAGCAGCAGAGGCAGCAGCCAACACCTCCTTCAGCTGCTTCCGCCTCGCCTCTGCATCCAGCCACAGCACCCGCAGCCTCGATGCCTCTGCCTCTGCTGCCTCCACCTGGCCCCTCAGCTTGCTGCTCTCTGCTGCTGCCTCTTCAAGCTTCCTCCTAGCCTCCTCCACTGCAGCCGCCCCTGCTGCGCCTGCTGCTGCCCCACCTGCTGCTGCTGGTGCTGCTTTGCCCTTGTCTCCACCCCCCTTCTTCCCGCCCTTCTTCCCTCCCTTGCCCGCTCCCCCTTGCGTCTCCCACACGCCCTCCTCCGCTCCCCCTCCCACACCACCACTACCAACCGCAGCAGCGGCACCTTTCCCACCCGCTGCCCCCCCTGCAACCGCTGTGGTAACCAGCTTCCCTGCCTTCCCCTGAGCGGCTGAGCTAAGTGTCGGTGGGAGTTTTTTCCGCCGGACAATTTCAGCTGTGAGGTCACGCACAGACTGCAAAGCTTGGGCGGCGGCAGCGGCGGCTTCGGCTGCAGCAGGTGAGGTAGACTCGGCTGGAGAAGGCGCTGGAGATTGCAGGCTGGAAAGGAGGAGGTTGATTCGTGACTCTGTTATGTTCACCAGCTGGGATAGTCTCCTGTGAAGGGAGTATCAAAGGGGAAAGAGGCAGCACAAAGCGGATAGAAATAGGGAGAGAAACGGATTCGGCAGGGAAGGGCGCTGGGGATTGCAGGCTGGAGAGGAAGAGGTGGGCAGCACAGGGCAGCACAGGGCAGCACAGGGCAGCACAGAGCAGCACAGAGCAGCACAGAGCAGCACAGAGCAGCACAAAGCAGCACAGAGCAGCACAGAGCAGCACAGAGCAGCACAGAGCAGCACAGAGCAGCACAGAGCAGCACAGAGCAGCACAGAGCAGCACAGAGCAGCACAGAGCAGCACAGAGCAGAGGGGAGCACAGAAGTGCAGGCGGGAGCAGAGCACAGCACAGCAGGGCAGAGAGGAACGGAGCAAGGCAATGCAAAGCACGTACACGCCACGAGCTGCTGCCCCGCCCTCCTCTGCTGCTGCCGCGCCTCCCACTGCTGCCGCTGCTGCTGCTCCTCCTGCTGCGATCAGCTGCAGCTGATGCTCCATTGACGCAGCCTGGATAAGGGCAAAGCGAGGCAGGGGTAAATGGGACGAATACGCATTTGCTAGTGTTTTGAGAGTGCGGTGCTGCTGATCTCAAAACACTTCTTCAATCAAGTGCGATGCTGCTGATCCCAAGTCCCCTTGCCTAGGCAAATCCCGAAGCTGAAACTCCGCACACCCTTCCGTCCTCAACCCTTCTGCACAGCCCCCATTTCGAGGTGACTTTTGAGTCGACTCAAAAGTCGTCCCAAAGCTGAAACTCCAAACACCCTTCCGTCCTCAACCCTTTTGCCCAGACCCCATTTCTTTGTAACCCTTTCTGCCTTCACCATATCCCCTGGGTTACCTTGGTCTGCATCTCCTGCAGCTTTGAGGACACACCCGCGTCACCAAGCTGTGCTGCGATGCGCTCCACTGCCCACCCTGACCCGCCCAGCTGCACGCACAAGAAACGGGCGGAGGGTGGATGGAAACGTTTCTTAGGCGTCTTAACAACGTAGCCACAAAAACAGGGCCTGCTTCGAGTTTTGAGACGTTTCAAAACCGCCCCCTTCACACACACCTTCACTGCAGTCACAGCAGCAGCCAGAGCTTTGGCGGCCGCACCACGCACATCCCCTCCCGCTGCCCCCGTGCCCGCATAAGATGTAAGATAAGTCAAAACAGAGAGAAAACCACCCATATTACACGCACCTTCACTGCAGTCACCGCAGCAGCCAGAGCCTTAGCAGCTGCGGCACGCACATCCCCTCCCGCTGCTCCCTTGCCTGCAGATCCACCTGTGAGGCCCAGGGTGGCGCCTTCCTCAGATAGCACCTGAGACAGGTCCGATGCCACCTGAGAAATCACCTGAGCCGCCTCCTGATGGCCCAGGGACACGGAGAGAAGCGCCTGGTGGTAGATTCACGTTAAGAAGGAGGCAGGAAGGGGAGAGAGGGAGAACGGGGGGGGAGAGAGGAAGGGGAGACGGGGAGAGAGGAGGGGGAGAGCGGGAGAGAAGGTAAAGGGGGGTGGGGGGAATTAGTGGGAGAGGGATTATTGATGGGGGTGGATGTGAGGAGGGACGTGGGAGGGATGTGGGAGGGGGAAGGTGGCAGGAGGACGATGGCAAAGCGGACGATGGCAAGGGAAAGAGGACGGAAGGATATGCAAATATTTTCTGAAGGAGCTGTGTTTAAAGAAAGGTGGTTGACGTTTTTCAGCGGATAAAACAAGCGGGACGAAGATGGGAGACGGGTTTGGGGAGGCACAAGAGGAATATCATATTGGGAGCCATCCATTGCTGGTTCAGTAAATCAGCACATTTCAATCTCGACAAATATACTTTCGTGCAGTCCATTTTCGTTCCCATACAAAGGTGGATCGTATCAAATCCACCTGAAGGTGAGGCAGGTGGGGTGGGCAACTATCCTATTTGAAACGTGTAATAGCTTCCTTCCCCTCCTCTCCCCTTCTCTCCCCTCCTCCCCACCCCTCCCCTCCCTTTCCCCTCCCCTCCCCTCCCCTCCCCTCCCCTCTCCCACTCTCCCTTCCACTCCGCCCTTCGCTCAACAATCGTGTCAGATCAAATCTACCTGGAGGTGCGGCAGGTGGTGGGGGTACAGAGGCAGCGTGATGCAGCTCTCCACCGTCTTCTCCAAAGCTCGACTCCTCAGGAAAATCTGCCGCAGGAAAGAAATATAGGCATTTGTGAGGTGAGGTGCCATCTAAACAACGACTCTCAACCTTCCGAAAAAAAAAGTCGCCATGCGACCCAACTTCTAGCAGACCAGCCCAGATCGAACCAACCATAATCCGTCCGCAGGTGCACCTATCCCACGCACCTCCTTCCACGCCGTCGCAATGCCAGGCGCGGGCAGTTGTTGCGCGCGCACAGTCCAGTCGTGCCACTGCCTCACCCGCGCCTCCGCATCCCTTCCGCACGCCTCCGCCGCCGCCTCCAGCGCCGCAGCTTCCGCGCTGATCGCTCCCCCCGCGCCCGGGGCAGGCGCAGCAGCAGCGCCGATGTTCCCGCCACGCGCAGCTGGAGCCGCGCCGGCGGCGGCACCCGCGGATTTGGCCTGCTTTCCGCCTTTGCTCTTTCCGCCCTGCTGCCACGCCTCCTCCCGCGCGGTTTCCGCCCCCCATTCCGCCGGCATCAGGCCCCCCGTCTCGTACGCCTTGGGATCCTTGATTAGCGGAATTTCCGTGCCGGCCGCCGGCGGAGATGACGGCGTAACTGCCGGCGCGGCGGCTTTTTCTGCCGATTTGGAGGAGATCTCAGGAGCAGCGAGTGCGCCATTGGCTGGTTCCTCCTCCTCGTCCCCCCAACGAGGCTGCCTCGCCTTTGCGCCTTTCCCCTTCTTCTTCTTCGCAGCGGAAGGTGCGACGGAAGGTGCAGAGGCAGCTGCGGGGGAAGCTGCATCTGCCTGCTCGCCGATCGAAGCAGCGGCCGTGGCTGATGGCGGTTGAGGTTCGGTTGGTGCAGGTTGAACCACCTCCGGCTCCTGCTTTTGCTGCTGCTGCTGAGGCTGCTGCTGAGGCTGCTGCTGCTGCTGCTGGTCGTCTCCTTGAGATTGCTGCTGCTTCTTCTTCCGGTTTCGGCGATTCTTGGAGCCTCCGTCAGCACCTCCGCCCGCGCCGCCTCCACCCGTCAGAAGGTCGAACGGATTCTGCACGTGAGCCATTTTCCGTGAAGTCGCAGTCTGGACCCGTCAACCTATGAAAAGTCCGGAGTTCCGAGCTGCAATGTCAGTGAATTTGTTTACGTGGATGGACAACGTGCTCCGAATCTATGAGAAAAAAACGGACCTTTTGTGCTTAGATTGGTTTAAGGTGAAGATAATGGCTTCCTGTCGAGAATGGGAACCCGGTTCAGGAACTATTGAAACAGCACTCAGAATCTGACCAATCTCACCAATCCGTGAACCGCTTCACGCGAATTCGCAGATCTCACAGGCCTGCGGACTTCCTGATGGCGAAACGAGCTGAGAGGATCAGGCGATAAGACTGAATGGTGTTACCGGCCTGGGAGTGAGATTGACCTGATGGTGGTTGTTAGATTCTTGTGCTGCTTCCTGACCTGATGGTAAGAAATCCAGATGGATGTGAGAGGATGTCTTGGTCAAGAAAACTCAAATCTCCAGGAATGTCAGTTTTGCTGGTCTTGGGAATGTTGTCACCATCCCGAGAAATCTATCGAGGGCGTATTTTTTTAGACCGACATTGCCTTGGGATTACTAAGCAGTCCAAGAACAAGCACGCACGAACGTCGCAAAAACATCTGCGAGCAGTTTGCATACCTAGACATGGCATTTAACTGTTGCGTCTGTGCGGAGTTTTGTTCGCATGTTTCGTTTGTACGGGAAGTGAAGTGCATTCGCGAATGATCCGGGGTGGCCGAAACCACGCAGTAGTGACCCATCGCCAACTTCGATGAGATAATTCCGAGAGTTACGGATGACGTCATTGAGATCCTGAGTCAACAACCCGGTAGTACAGTTTGTGAAGGGGCATGTACGGTTTCACTTTAATGATACAAATCAGTTAATTAAATACACTATTTACAAGCACAATGTCAAGCTTTAATCCCTATTTAGGTCACCTGTGTACTCGTAGCATACTTTTCCACGAACCAGATTTTGGGACCACTGACTGCCGGCGGAGAGGATTTTTCGCTTGGAACGGCAAGAGATGCTGTGGAGTTACTACCAACTACTCGTCGAAGCACCAGAACTGAGCTTGCCCCTTGTAACAAGGTTACCAGCAGCACAGCAGCAATGGAAGGCGCAAGGAAGACCCAAATGACTGCCACCCGCCGGCCCAAAAGCGTTTCATTCAGTCCACCCTCAAGGAAAATGCCAAACAATGCCTGACATTGCAAGGATGGAGAGAGAGGGGAACATGACGGGGTAAATGTTAAGCCTAAAACGAGTTTTAAAAGTTATGGAGAGAGATTTGCTCCAAGTGACTTGAAAACCCCTAACTACAATACCTGACCAGTTGTTGTGGGAGGCTTACTCATAGAAACAGTAAGCTACAGAATCACTAGCCTCACCCTGAAGGTGCTTACCCCAAGAGAAGCTAGCGCAGCAACGTGGGAGGTGATAAGGGCGATGGAGAGGAGGGAGGAGGAGAGCGAGAGGGAGATGATGACGGAGGCGTGTGAGCGGAGCAAGAGGAGGGAGGTGCGCAGCGAGGAGGAGAAGCCTTCCCCCGTTGCTGCTGCGATAGGCAACCCGAGTCTGGTGCGATAAGCGGTTGGAGAACACACAAAGACACAGCCCACGCGCTCACACAAGCACGCACAACCACAGACATGCAAACAAAGACACATACACACACCCACACACACAAGTGCGCATGCATGCGCACTCGCACACACGCATATACACGCACATTAACAATTATTCATAGATACACACAAACACAAAACACATACACGCACATTAACAAATATTCATAGATACACACAAACACAACACATACATATGTACACTGAAGATGCAAAGCCAAAAAAATTGCGAAGTGTTGGAAAAAAAAGGGGGAGAGGGAGGGAGGGGGAAAGAGGGATAGGAAGATGTCACTCAATAAGAGCAACACAGCTGAACTCGCCATGAAAACTAAACGAGCAAGGGCGTGATACAAACGAGCGCCACAGAAAAAAACGTATTGAGTCGTGCCTTGTAAAGGAAGCGAGCAAGGGCGTGACACAAACGAGCGCCAGCACTCTGGTTAGCGTGAGAGAAGCAGAGGCAGGCATGAGGCGGCGGTCGTCCACCGAGGGCGAGGTGGAGGAGGAGGACGAGAATTGTGAGGAGGAAGATTGCGAGGCAGTTGAGAGAAAAGGAGGGGAGGGGAGGGAGGAGATGAGGGAGAAGAGGAGGTCGGGGAGGGTGAGAGCGAGAGCAGCGGAGAGTGTGAGGATGAGAGATATGGTGGCGATGGTGCCGAGTGATGCGAACAGGGCGTGCCTGCAGTGGTGGGGTGAGGGAGGAGACGGGTGGAAGAGAGGAGAGGAGGCGAGATGAGAGGAGGGGTTAAGGGGGTGAGAGAGACGGTGGTGATGGTTTCTGAGGCGCCTCAAACAAGGGGATGAGAGAGACAGTGGTAATGGTGCCGAGTGTTGCGAACAGAGCATGCGCGTAGTGGTGGGGTTGAGCATCAAACATTCTGCTCTTTGCACGCCGCAAAAAAAAAAACAAACAAACAAACAAACAAACAAAAAAGAAGAACAAACAAACAAACAAAAACCAACCGTATTGGTAACGTTGAGGAACCCGGCCTGTTCCATGCAAGAAGCTTCCTCTCCTCCAAAAACCCACACAAGTCATCACCGGGAAAATGCCCCGAAGATTCCTCTTCCATTTGCTCTCGCCCCATCCCTCCCACCCGCCCTGCTGCTTCTTCCAGTGCACCCCTGTCAAACGGGGTTTCAGTTGTCTCAGAAAGAGGCGGGTTACTGAAAATACCCTCCTCGAACGCCTCACTGCTGGCCGCCACTGCAGCAGCTGCCCCCCATCCCACTGCCGCTGCTTCAGCTTCAGCACCATTCCCTCTCAAGCTGTCTCTATTCCTCCTTAAACGCCTCACTGCTGATGTGTTATCTAGGGCACCCTCCTCAAACGCCTCACTGCCAACCGCCACTGCAGCTGCGAACTGCACTGTCATGACCACACTGACGGCCAGCCACAGACTTGCCAGCTGGCCGGCTGTTCTGACGGCCAGATGGATCCAGAGGGGGAGATGGCAGGCAAGGGCGGAGAGGAAGTGAGTGAGGGAGGGGAGGAAGGTGGAGGGAGATGGGGTGGGGGTGGTTATGGCGCTGTGGGTGGAGGAAGAGAAGGAAGAGGAAGAGGAGGAAGAGGAAGAGGAAGAGGAGGAGTGAGGGATGTAGGTCATTTGGGCTGATATGAACCCAGCACCAGCACCCCATGCTCCCTCCTGCTGCTCCTCCTCCTGCTGCTGCTGCTCCTTCCTCTGCTCCTCTTTCTCATCCCCTTCCGCCCCCTGCTGCTGCTGAGCAGCTAAGGCAATTGCAGCTCTATCCATGGAAAGGAAAAAGGAGGGGCAGTGGGCTGGGAGCAAGGGGGAGGAAAGAGATGAGGGCTGGGAGGGTGGTGGTATCAAGGGTCCTTGGAGAGTGGAGGAGGAGGAAGGAGAGAAGGAAAAGGAAAAGGTCGAGACAAAGAGTGGTGTGAGGAAGCTTGCAAGAACTGCGAGGAGGGCGATGAGGGAGACGAGGGAGCGGGCTGGGGAGCGGCGGTGGGAGAGAGATAGGGCGGAGTGGGAGGTGTTGCTGACGGCTAAGGCATAGTGGAAACGGGGGAGGCGGGGGGTAAGGCGGGGACGATTGGAGGACTGCGGGAGATGGGAGGAGCGGGGAAGGTGGGGAAGGTGGGGAAGGTGGGGGCGATGGGAATTGATAGGGGAGGTAAAGGGGGAGAAACTGGATGGTGGAAAGTTGGGGGTGGGACGAGGAGGGTGTGGAAGAATCAAGCGGTATGGAGGAGGGAGGGAGTTGGAACGGCAGAGGGTGAGGAGATGTCAGATAGGGAGATGAATCTGCATGGGATGGCTGCTGCTGGAGGCTGGATGCTGCGGATGAGGGAAACGAGTCCGAAAGAGACGGCGGCTGCTGCTGCAGCTCCTTCTGTGACTGCTGCTGATTCTGCTGCTCCTGCTGCTTCTCCTGTTCCTCGCATTCCTCCTCTTCTCTTCTCCTCCCCTTCTCACTCACTCCCCCTCCTCTTCCAGACCCCAGCCCCAGCAGCAGCAGCAGGGAGGCAGCGAGAATCAGAACGAGCACTGAGAACACTACAACCCACGTGCTGCTAACTTCCAGAGGCTCATACCATGTACCGTACCAGTCCCATAACGAGGACAGAGGGGAGAAATGGCGGAAGGAGGTGTAGCGTTTGTAACCAGCACCAGCAGCAGCACCACCAACAGCACCACGATATTTTCCCCCCATTCTCCATTTTCTCCTCCACCCCCCAACCACTCGCCCTAATCCCCGTCCCTCTAACCCTCCTCCTTCCCCCATCCCCACCCCCCCTCCCCCTCCCGCTCCCCCTTCCCCCTCCTCCTCACTCTCCTGTAGCAAGGTCAGTAGGGAGAAGACGAAGGGGGCGAAGCGGGGCGAGGAAAAAGACAAACTGGTAGGCGGCAAATCCGCCGGCCAGCAAGGCGAGGGATCCTTCTAGTGGTGTTACGTAGCAGATAAGGACAGAAAGTGCTGCCCCTGCGATTAGTGGTATGAGCTTGTCGGCGCTGGGAGAGAAGGACTGGGACGAAGGTTCCAGGAAGGGGGAGGTGGTAGGTTGGAGGAAGAAGGAAAAGAGTGCGCGTATGGTGACAAATGTCACTGTAACGGATGTGCTTATAACGAAGATGGCAGCAACCAGAGTATCGCGGGGTTGGCGATTGGAAATTGGTTTGAAACGGATAGAATTTGGTGCCACGTCAGCAGCACCTCTTAATCTCCTCCTGCCCCCACTACTGCCACGTAGGCCACTCAAACTCCCAGCCACGTCATCATCCTTTCCGAGATTCTTGGAGCCAATAGCATCGTCACTAGCTATGGAGTCAGGGGTCGCTTCGAGAAGAGCTCTTAATCTCCCCCAGCCCCCAGAAATCGAAAGCCACTGCTGTATCTTCCCAGGTGCTTCCTCAGGTGATTCCTCAGGTGATTTCGAAGGTTTTTTTCCAGGGGAATGTACAAGAGCAGCGTCTTCCCCGTCGAGCCAATCATCCTCCCCCTCCTCCTCCAACCTTCTTCGTTCCTCCTCCCCTGTCCCCCTTGCTTCCCTGCTCTCCTCTCTGCCCCTTTTCTGGTAGATTCCCGTCCCATTCTTCTCTCCCTCCTGAATCTCCTCGCTTCCGCCCCGCTCTCCTCTTTCTCCTCGCTCTGCTCGCTCCTCTCCCATCTTTCTCCCGACTAAGGATTCTCACAAGTGACTAGACAGCCTCTTCGTTTACTTAAAGCCTCCTCCTTCTCTCTCTCCTCGCTCTTCTCTCCTCCCTCCCTCTCTCTCTCGCGCTTCCCCCTCCTGCATCTCCTTTCAATTCCCCTCAAAGTTTTCCAACCTCCTCCTGCGAGAAAGCGAATGGAGAAATCGAGAGGAGATTTTTCACCGCCGCCTAGCGTAGCGAAGCCCTTACAGTTAGCGAGGGGGAGCGGGGGAGCATTGGAGCGGGGGAGCGGGGGAAAGCGGGGTCCAGAGGAGATACTTCCGCGCCGACGGGAAGCACTCGGGGAAGCGGAACGACTGGGGGAAGGGGTGCAATTGGAAACGGAAATCATGGATGGAGGGACATGCTTCGAGTGAGCGTTAAAACCGAGGGATGGGGAATGAGGAGAAACGCAGAGAAATGGTGAAGGGGAAGGAGGAGACGGGAGGTTGGGAGGAGAGGAACAAGGGAAAGGCACTCATTCCCTGTGCGCGTGGGCTTCTGGGAGGAGCAAGGGAGCAGCAAGAAACCCTGCTGATGACTTGCTGAGCTGAAATGAGCGTTGAAACGAGCCGAACTACACAAATAAAAACGATGGACCTTACAAAACCTTCCTCAGCCATGAAAAATGAACCTTAAACGTTTGAGTTGGAATCCCCCTAACATATATGGAAATAAATATTTTAATAGATATTGTATGTTTAGTGGTGAGCAAAGTGCTCTGATAGCGGGGCACTCCCCAAACGGCCCGTGGTTTGCCAAGGCTGTTGAGCAGTTGCCTGCGACTATACGCCAGGAGATGTCGGACTTACCTCTGTGTGTTGCGACCCCTCCCCTTCGGCTTTTCCAGGCGCAGCAGCGGCAGTTGGCTGTTGAGGAGCTCCAGGCACTGCGCCGCTCGGCTCGTGACGATGCCACCCTGGCCCGTTTTACATCCCTTCAGGGCCCGGGGGCTGGTGCATGGGTTTCGGCGGTTCCGGCTCACTCATATCTCACATTCACTGCGGCTGAGTGGGGCATTGCTGCTGCAATACGGCTCAGGCTCCCAATTCAGCAACTGCAGGTGGCGGGGAGATGTGTGTGTGTGGCACAGTGTATGTTGACCCAGCAGACCCGCATCATGCCCTGAGATGCAAGCACCAGCACGGTCCATCTCGGGTGCATGATGAGGTGAAGTTTGCGGTGGCGAGGATTTCTAAGGCGTCAGGGGGAGTGGTGACGATGGAGGATAGTGCGGTGCTGCCGGGGAAGCGGGTTGACGTAGCGGTGCGACGACCGATGGCCAGGGAGGCTCACGCTCTGGAGATCAGCGTCGCGGACCCTGTATCGCTGTCTCCATCCCTGCTAGGGCAGTGCGGGCGTTCTATAGGTGTGGCGGCAAGGGAGTGGGAGCGTCGCAAAGCGAGTGATTACGCGCCTTTGCTTGCATGCAACCGGGGCGTGCAGTTTACCCCTTTCATAGTAGAGACGTGGGGGTGCCTCGGCGGTTGCTTCCGGCGGTGGCTTCGACATCAGGGGGATGCGCACGTGGGGCTAGCTGTGTCACGGGGGGCTTGTCGGGAGGATGACACTTCGTTTTCGGCTTACCTTTTGGGGTCTCTGAAGGCGCTCATCGGGGTCGCGTTGCAACGGGCACAAGCTTGTGTGATCCTGCTTCGGGCGGCGTCTTCCATGGGGGGGATGAATGTGGATTTGCACCACCCACCAAAACCCGTTGAATTATTTTATCCGTCGGTGTGTAATCTACCACAGTGAGCGTAGAGGCCCCGTGCGTCCGAACCAGGCAGTGCCAGTCTCACAAACTTCAGCATGGACCGGTTATTTCTCCTTCTGTACTTCCCCTCCCCATCAATTCACGTTGGAAGTGGTTGGTGGCTGTGATCGGATGATACGTGATTCTGCTAGATCCGATCACAGTCAGCACGTCGCGCCAACGCATGGCAAACGCAGGTCGTTTTATGCCAAACATTTTAGCGAAAGCAGTTCTTTCTTGTCAACATCCAGCCACCGGCTGCAGCAGCCCTCGGCGTGGATGGGGTCGAAAGGACGGGACGGGAGGGAGGGGCGCCAAGCAACCAATTCCCTAGACTTGGGTTGGATGACGGGTCCGTTCCGTTGAGTTGTGGCGACAACAGAAGCAGCCACTGGGTATAGTCCTTGTTGCACTCCATGAATAAGACTGCTTGTCAATGAAGGTCTTCTAGTCCAGATTAGATAGTATTCGAGTTCACCATGAACTGCTTGATAAGATGCCTGAAGCCAGTGTCACTTTCTTGTGTTTGCCTTGTGCACTTTCTTAAGTATTACTTGATCTACGTTACGAGTCATCTAGAAATCCCAGAATCAACCCGTCTTGTGCATGAATGGTATCCCCTTCTCTGACCGATGGAAAATCTGTTCAAGCTGACGGTGGCAGTCCAAGTATCATGTCGGATCCTGTCATGCACTGTTCATAGTGTCTCGCTGGATCTGCCCGCCACAGTGAAGAATCTTCAGCGCTTACGGAGGGCGCATACACATTATCCTCAAAACACTCTAGGGGTCATCGCCGAGATCGCGTTTCTCGTAGCTACGGTCAAAGCACGAAAATATAACAGAAAGTTCGAGACCCTTCGTTTCGAACCCAGGAAACAGACGTCCTCAGAGCGTTTCCTGTCCGCATCCTGCTGTTTCAGAATGGCCCCTTCGCCTCGATTTTTGCAGAGCGTTTTTGCGTGTTTCAAATTAGTTATTTGTGCGTTCGTTTTCTCGAAGTCACACAGAAACGACATGCATGAGACGAGAGACCGCCGAATCATTGCCCTTCTTTGTAATGGAATGGAAGATGTCGCGCGACTCTTGTCCATTGCCAGTCCAGCCTGAAAATTACCTACTGTTGGCGTTGGCGGTGGTTCCTCCTGCGGCTTTTACCTAACGCATGCAGATCTTGCTAGTGCAAGTTTGCGAATGCATGCAATAGACGGTTCAGGCAAAAATGTCGGCCTGCCGGCAAAAAAACGCGGTTACCCGTGTTTAGGGTTGAGGTTCCCCCAGTCGCATGCCATCCAGATGGGGTTTAGTTTGTTTATGACCGCGGGCAGATAACAGTCCGTCAGCCTCTTTCCCCCACGGCCGTCTATTGTATGCATCTGCATAATCGCACTGGCATAATTTAAATGCCGTTAAAAATGGCCCGTTCCTCCTGACCTGATTCACCTCACCAGCAGCAGCACTCTGACTTACGATGCGTGAATCAACACTGGGCTGGCAGATGAGCGAAGTAGTTACAACTGTAGACTTGATGGAGCATGTGATGCCAGCACAGTTTTTCTGCCAGAGCTAGCGAGGGTTTCAACTTTAGTACGTGCTATCTGTTGATACAGCACATCATGTCCTGGCACTTTAGTTTAGGGGATTGACGGTCGCCGGTCCTACTAGGACAAACACTAGGATTTCGTAGGTCGTTCTTGATGTAGAGGCGTGTCCTCTAGTTGGCAGGAACTAGGAATTGTTCTAAGCAGTAGAGCACACTCTTGGCTTTCCAAGGAGCCGTAGAACACGTAATTCGCCCAAGTATCGGCTGAGATACGGCTTTCAACGTGCTAGGTAGTGCTCTAAGATTGAAGGATAGAAAGTCTCTGGATTTTGTGTCGAGTTGAACTGTGTATAGAAAACTCTGATTTTCAGTATATCATGCATACAAAGCAATCACAATATATAGCTACTCAAAACATCGAGTCGCGCATGTAACATACGAGATGCATCGAGAACATTCGCGTAACAATTCGAATGGGTGAAATTCGGCACCCGAATTTCACCGAACCGAATTCTTCCTTAGTCTCGATCCTTCTTGTGTTGCCATGTGGCACCAATTGAGTGGGTCTTCCGAAGTCAACCCACACACTTCGTGAAACCTGCAGCTCTCTCAAGCGGTGAGCACCGAAACACATTCGGTGGGTTGGGGGCATATCAATTGCCCCACCACCGTTTGCTTCTAACTCACGCGACCTCCAACAGTTCTACTTACGAGTATTAAAATGCCTCATCGCTCGCGGGTTCCGGATCCCGCGGCGGCCGTTTCACTTGCACATGGAGATGCGCTGACGTCGCTTCTCGATCTGACGGCTGCCGTCGTCATTGCCGCCAGAGGCGCTAAGATCCTCTCTGCTAGGTATTTACCTGCGAAAAAACTAAAAGTTTTATAATTGTTCGTGATATTTATCACTGTCTTACCTCGGCACAAGATGATCAAGTCCTTTTTCATGAGGGAGTTGCGGGTTTCATGAAGATTTCATGCGTAAAATAAGTTCTTTCAGATTAGTTGCAACTGGTACGCTGGATACGACATTCTGCTCTCACAAAGTGCTTAAGATTGTGGTTTCATGAAGAGAGATTGTGATTTTACGAGGAATTCCATGCAGTGGCCATTGCTTTTTGACACAAGCATGTATGAAATTTGACGCTTGGTTCGTTCAGCGTATCGCACTAACGTGCCTAAATTTTAGGTCTATTCCTCTTTAATGTCTCTAAACTAAGCATGTTTTAGAAGCAACCTAAGGTGGCTATGGTCATTCACGGCTTGTCTTCTGTATTTTCTATCAAATCCCCTTGTGCTCGGTCCGGTTATGTCAATAAAGGTACCAATCCTTGTGTGAGCGGAGATGGAAGAGGTTTGCAGTAAAAATGGCTTGTATTGGCTTGTATTTTTATTTGCATTCTTAATGATGGTCATTCTTCGTGGTGATGGTTTTCCACGGGTAGGGTCAGAAACTTTTATCTTGGCTCTAACATCAGCTTGCTCATCATCAGCATCTCATAATCAAATTGCGAGTGGGCTGCATCTCGTGTTTCTTCTGGCCACCTGCTCTCTCGTCTGTCTCCCTCACTCTCTCTCGCCTCGCTCCCCATCTTGATCCTCCATATTCCATCAGCATGGGTGCGTGCGAGCTGCTGCACAGAAACCAAAGTCTTTAGAAAACTGATCCATTTTGAGGCTTCGCTGCCTTCTCTCCCCACCAACTCGCTCCTCCCCTTTCTGATCACCCTGATTCCTTCAGCATGGGTGCATGCGAGCTGCTGCAGAAGAATCCGATCCATTTTGGAGCTCCGCTGCCCTCTCTCCCCACCCACTCGCTCCTCCCCTTTCTGATCACCCTGATTCCATCAGCATGGGAGCGTGCGATGCGAGCTGCTGCAGCAGCAGGTACCATGGTCTCTAGAGAATCCGATCCTTTTGGAGCTCCGCTGCCTTCCCCCACCCACTATCTCCTTCCCATCCCTCGCGCCTCCATCCCTTTCTGATCCCCCCTGCTTCCATCAGCATGAGAGCGTGCGAGCTGCTGCAGCAGGAGCCGGGGTCTTTAGAGAACCGATTCATTTTGGAGGTCCCCTGCCTTCTTTCCATCACTCGCTCCCCCCCAATCCTTCGCTCCCCTCCTGTCTGATCCTTTCAGCATGAGAGCGTGCGAGCTGCTGCAGCAGGAGCCGGGGTCTCTAGAGAACCGATTCATTCTGACGTTTCGTTGCCCTCTCTCCCCATCTCTCCCGTCCCCTTTTTGTATTCGTTTTTAACAGCATGGGGGCGTGCGAGCTGCTGCAGCAGGAGCCGGGGTCACTAGAGAACCGATCCATGCTGGAGCTGCTGCATTTGAACGACCAGCCGCTTTTCATGGTACTTCCACCCACCTGGTCATGTGTGTGGGTGGTTGGGTGTGTGTGTGTGCGCGTGCACATTTGTGTTCGCGTGTGTGTGTGTGTGTGTGTGTGTGTGTGTGTTTTGCCATGCTGGAGCTACTCCACCTGAATGACCAGCCGCTCTTCATGGTACTCCCACCGACCTTGCCTTGCCGATCCATAAGAGCTCCTTGCACAGCAAACTGTGTGCACACGTGCCTCCTCTTTATTCTTTGCTCCGTGCTGGAGCTGCTTCATTTGAACGACCGACCGTTCTTCATGGTACTCCTCCCACCCGACTCTTGCTTATCGTTCTTCTTGTCTTTCCTTTTTTCCTCTTCTTTTTATTGTCACCCCACGCCACGTTTGTCCGCATGCATCCGTGGAAATCCACATGGATTCTGATTGCACACGTGCCCTTCCCTCTTCTCTCCCCGTTCGAGCCTCAAGATTCACTCCCTTACTTAACTCCTCGTTTTTCTCCACCGGCTTTTAACAGGACACGCTGGTTAAGTGCGCGCGCTTAGCTCCCTCCAGCAGCACAGCTCCGTCGGTCCGCCCGTGCAGTGCACACGCCGCCACAGGAACCAGCCAGCCGAACTATAGGCAGCAGTCTCCTGGGAATACACCCCCATGGGTTACAGTACCCGCTACAACAACCCCTGCCACAACTCCTGCCACAACCCCTGCGGCAACTCCTGGAGTAACCCCCTTTCACCCGCCGCACCAGGAGTCGCACGGTTGTTTTTCAGGCGCTTCTTCTTCGCACGCTGCCCGGCGCGAGTTTTCTACTGCTGGGGCTGCTGTTTCGGGCAGCGGCGGAAGGTTTTTCCGCGGGCAGCACCAGCTGCACGTGCGTCTGAGGGTGGATGAGGAAGCAGAAGGGGAGGACCCTCAGACTGAGCAGCAGTTTGTGTGGGTGTGCGCGCGGATGCTGCCTGTGGTGGCAAGGAGACAAGGCGTAGGAGAACCAAGGAGAGATGCAAGGGGAAGGGAGTCAGAAGGAAGCGATGCAGCGTTTGTAAGAGGGCAGGCAGGGGCAGCGGGTGCTGGAGCAGGAGAAGGATCAGAGAGGCCAGGATCAGCAGCAGCAGCAGCAGCAGCAGCAGGAGGAGCAGGCGGTAGAGGAAGGCTGTCAGTGGTGTGTGTATTCGAGGAGTTAGAGGTCGTCCCAGCTTCTGTGACTGCGCCTGAAGTGGCGCCTGTAGCAGCGGCACCGGGAATTTTCTTAGACCCTGCTGCTGCTTCTGCTGCTGCTACTGCTGCCGCCGCTACTTCTGCCGCTGCTTTCGCTGCCGCGGGTACCACTTTTGCCGCCGTTGCTACCTTCGGTGCTGCCGCCACTGCTGCTGCTGCTGCTGCTGCTGCTGGCGATACAACTGCTTCCGAATCTTTTTCACCTGTCCCTTTCCCGGACGCTGCTATGCCAGGTGCTCCTCCTACTCTTACACTATCAGAAGCAGTCGGCACGCACACACCAACCCTGAGCCCTTTCCCGCAGATCTCCAGCTTTGAGCACATGCAACGCGCACCAGGAGAATCTGCTGATAGAGCAGCAGCAGCAGCAGCAGCAGCCGGCGCATCCGCTGCAGCTCCCCCTGCTCCTACCGCCTCCGCCGCAGCAGCAACAACAGCAGCAACAGCAGATGCATCACCCACTGTTGCTGCCGCCGCCGCAGTACCAGCAGCAGCAGCAGGACCATCAGGGGCCAGGCTCCCGGCAGCAGCTCCTTCTGTTACTTTAACTCCAGCACACCCCAGCTCCTCTCCTCTCGTCCCCCCAGCGACGGCTGTAGCAGCTGCAGCGGCTGTAGCGGCGGCAGCCGCAGCCGCTACAGCCACCCGCAAGCCCCAGCCTGCGCCTGTGACTATAGAGAAGAGGAAAGGACCCATGACCTTGCCTACTCTCCCCCGGTGGCGCTCTAACGAGGATCTTATAGAGGAGGGAGATCCGTTAGAAGACAGGCAGTTACTGGATCAGCTTCCAACGAGGATAGAGGAGATTAAAGCGCGTTTGGAGAGTGGAGAGGGTTTGGAGGAAGAGGCGCCTAGAGTTGGAGCAGGGGAGAGGAGGCGGCAAGGGGATTTGGGGAAGTGGCAGGGAGGGAGAGGAGGTAGAGGGAACCGGGGGCAAGGACGGGGTGAATGGGTGAGTGCTGAGGCGAAGGGTGGGCAGTTGTTAGGGCAGGAGAAGGGGCGAAGCAGTGATAGGGAGAAGGAGAGGAAAGAGGGGAGCACAAGAGACAGGGAGAAGGGAGAGGGAGACCGGGAGGAGCAGCAGAGCATGAGTGGTGGGTGTAACAGTGCTGCTGCTGCGGAGGAAATTGGCAGTGGGGCAGGTCAAATTGGTGGTTTGAACAATGAAAGCAGTGAGAGGGAGGCGTTATCTGGGGAAGGTGGGCTGGTATCCTATGGGTTGCATCTGAGGAGGGCACTGGAAGGGGAAGGGGAAGCAGAAGGGGATGTGACTGTAGCGGATGAGATCATGGAGGGGGGATTGGGAGACTTGGGAGGGAGGGGGAGGAGCCTTGGAGCTGGTAGCAGCAGCATGGACCTTCCTTCTGTTGCTGTTGCTGATGCTGGTGCCGCCACCGTCACAGCTGCTGCTGGTGTTGTTGGTGGTGCTGCTGCTGGTGGTGATGATGGTGCTGTTGGTGCTACTGCTGCTGCTGTAAAGGCAGCTGAAAGGGAGGGGGTATTTGAGAGAATTCATGCACCGCAGGCACTGGCAGGGCCATCCCCAGACGCAGCAACGGAAGGGAGAGGTAAAGGGAAGCAGGTGGGAGGGCAACGGATAAGAGTTCTACAGGGGGATGATTGTGGTGATGTTGGGGATGGTGGTGATGGTGGTGATGCTGCAGGTGATGATGCTGCAGGTGGTGATGCTGCAGGCGGTGATGTTTCTGCTGCACGAGTGATGCGTGAGGTGAAGGGGGAGGCAGGAGCTGAATCGAGCATCAAGGCTGGAGGAATGGGAGCAGCTGCAGCTTCCTCTGCCGCTGCGGGTTCACACGCTAAGTCCGCTGCTGCTGCTTCTGCTGCCGCTGCTGGTGCTGGTGCTTGTTCTGCGTCTGGATCTGCCTCTGCGGCTTGTTTCAGGGCAGATGTGGGAGTGGGGGAGGTGGCGGTGACGAGTGGAGGTGGGGAGTCAGGGCTTTGGACGGATTACCTCAAGAAGGGGTTGACTCGGCTGTTGGAAGCTCAGAACGCCCCCAGTGATGATGACGATGATGATTATGATCACGATCGTGATCGTGATGTGGTGCAGAAAGAGCAGGCGGGCGGAAAGGATGAGGAGACGGGGGAGATTGGGGAGACGGGGGAGAGAGGAGAGATGGTTGGGAGGAAAGGAGGGGGGGGAGAGAGAGCAGGGGGCGTGTTGGATCTGCCGAGTGAGGGAGTGGAGGGGGAGGGGGAAGCTGCTGGAAAGGCGAGTGAGGAGGAGGAGGTAGAGGAGATTGTGAGGGTCAAACCGGGTCGGATGGGGATGGGAATGGGGATGGGGATGGGGACGGGGATGGGGGGGGTTGGGGGGGGTGGATGAAGCCGCAGCAGGGAGAGGGGCAGATGGGCAAGGAGCGAGTGTCGTGCCACCAGGGGTGCAAGCTGCTGCTGCAGCAGCAGCAGGAGGGGGGGGACCGGATTCGGATAGCCTAAGCAAGTTCTTTTCCGCCTCGGTAAGAAAAAAAAAAAAAAAAAAAAATCACACACACGCATTTTTTTTGCCTCAGTAATTCGTCCCTCTTTCCCTCTCTCCAGCTGTGCTCGTCCGAACAATTCCGCCTTGCCGCTTTCGTCCTGATTTGGAGTCTAGTTTCGCTTCTTCCCCACCCCCCACCTTTCTTCCCCCCCCCCCCCCCCTCTTCGATCCCACCCTCCATCTCACCCTCCCTCTCTCCTTCCCTCCTCCCTCCCTCTCCCCCACCCTCTTCTCCCTCCCCCCTCATCCCCACCTCTTCCTTCCCTTCCTCCCCCCCCCACGCAGAACCCCATATTCGTTTGTAAGAACCTCACTGTAGTCGACTGTTTTTTAGTCGACTAAGAATGCCGCCTCTCCTTTCCGTCCCTCTTCCACCCACTCAGGACCCCATATTCGTTTGTAAGAACCTCACTATAGTCGACTGCAACGACAGCGCCGCCCGGATCCTCCGCGTCGCCCAGAATGAACGCAGCACCCGAATCTTCGGCCAATCACCAGTCGTCTTCTCGCCGCCCGTGCAACCCGAGGGAATCCTATCCGCAGTAGCAAGCGAGCAGCGCTGGCTGGATATAGCTACGAGCAATGGCCGCCCGTTCCGGTTCCCCTGGGTGCACATGTCAATCGACGGTCAGATGTTTCTCGTGGAGGTGATGGCGATGGTGCTAGTGGACGGCCCAGATACATTCCACATCACCATGTGGAAACAGTACCTCAACTCCTCGTCTCTTACCCGCGAGTTGCGGCTCGCCGCCCGCGCGAAACGGGCAGCCGAGAGGTCTCGAGTTCAATTCCTGGCGAACATGAGTCATGAGCTTAGGACACCGATTAATGGCGTGTTGGGGTATGCACAGCTGATGATGCAGACACAGCTTGATCCGGAGCAGCAGTCTTATCTGCAGAGTATATACGAGTCGGGAGAAGTGCTGCTGGGAACGGTTTCTCAGGTAAGGGTTTATTTTAGCTCTTCCATGAGAGTAAGTGAGGTGAGTGGGGTATGCACAGCTGTTGATGCAGGCTCAGCTGGATCCGGAGCAGCAGTCGTACCTGCAGAGTATATACGAGTCGGGAGAAGTGCTGCTGGGAACGGTCTCGCAGGTGAGCGTTCATTGCAATATGTTTTTCAAGCTGCCAATCCTAGCTGTTTGTTATGTGAATTGATCTATCCGACTCTCCCAATCCCGTCTCCACCCCAGATAACCCTTCTTCACCCCTTAACGCCGCTCTCGGAAACCTTACACCTTTGTCTTCACCCCTTGACACCCCTCTTCACCCTTCCATACCACCAGGTGTTGGAGATGAGTCAGCTGCAGAAGCGGGAGGTGGTGCCAAGGCAGGTGCGGTTTGATCTGCACAGGGCTATTGGGGAGGCGGCTGGCAGCATGCGGCCTCTGGCGCACAGGAAAGGGCTGCAGGTGGGTGCTGCTGGGTGCAGGTGAGTACAGGTGTGTCCAGGCGTGTACAGGTGTGAGCTGACTCTTTACTGTGTGTCAGTCGCGGATAGGAAGGGCTGCGCAAATGGTGCCAAGGCGGGTACGCTTCAATCTGCACAGGGCCATTGGGGAGGCGGCTGGCAGCATGCGGCTTCTGGCTCACAGGAAAGGGCTGCAGGAGGGTGCCAATGGGTGCTGGTGGGTGCTGATGGGTGCTGGTTCGGGAGGGAAGCAGAGGGTTCTGGATCAGAGGGTGTTGCAGGTAAGGCTGGGTAAAAGGGAGGTGTTGCCAAGGCTGGTGCGGTTTGATCTGCACAGGGCGATTGGGGAGGCGACTGGGAGCATGCGGCCTCTGGCGCACAGGAAGGGGTTGCAGGTGGGTGCTGATGGGTGCTGCTCAGTGCTGGTGGGTGCAGGGTGTTTTTTTAGTGGGTATTGGTGTGTGTAGCATGGTGGTGGGTAGCAACTGGGGACTGCCTCGTTGCTGGCAGAATGTGGTCTCTTGCGCACGGGAATCCCATTGCCCTTCTCTCTTGTTCCCTGACATCCCCCCCCCTTCTCACCCCTCACCAGTTCGGATCAGCATGGACAGGGCAGTGCCGCACGCAGTCCTGGGGGACCCATCCATGCTGCGCCAGCTGCTGCTGCACCTGCTCTCCTCCTCGTAATGCAATTGGTGCCGATTCTCTCACTTCCTCCCTCTTCCCCATACATCCTCCCCCATCCCAGTTCGGGATCAGCATGGACAGGGCAGTACCACACGCAGTGCTGGGGGACCCATCCATGCTGCGCCAGCTGCTGCTGCACCTGCTCTCCTCCTTTCATTTCCCTTCCCTACCTTTCCTCTCCCATCGCCCGTCGCTCTCCCACCCCCCTTCCCCCCCACTCCAGTTCGGGATCAGCATGGACAGGGCAGTGCCGCACGCAGTGCTGGGGGACCCACCCATGCTGCGCCAGCTGCTGCTGCACCTGCTCTCCTCCTTTCATTTCCCTTCCCTACCTTTCCTCTCCCATCGCCCGTCGCTCTCCCACCCCCCTTCCCCCCCACTCCAGTTCGGGATCAGCATGGACAGGGCAGTGCCGCACGCAGTGCTGGGGGACCCATCCATGCTGCGCCAGCTGCTGCTGCACCTGCTCTCCTCCTTTCATTTCCCTTCCCTACCTTTCCTCTCCCATCGCCCGTCGCTCTCCCACCCCCCTTCCCCCCCACTCCAGTTCGGGATCAGCATGGACAGGGCAGTGCCGCACGCAGTGCTGGGGGACCCATCCATGCTGCGCCAGCTGCTGCTGCACCTGCTCTCCTCCTTTCATTTCCCTTCCCTACCTTTCCTCTCCCATCGCCCGTCGCTCTCCCACCCCCCTTCCCCCCCACTCCAGTTCGGGATCAGCATGGACAGGGCAGTGCCGCACGCAGTGCTGGGGGACCCATCCATGCTGCGCCAGCTGCTGCTGCACCTGCTCTCCTCCTTTCATTTCCCTTCCCTACCTTTCCTCTCCCATCGCCCGTCGCTCTCCCAACCCCCTTCCCCCCCACTCCAGTTCGGGATCAGCATGGACAGGGCAGTGCCGCACGCAGTGCTGGGGGACCCATCCATGCTGCGCCAGCTGCTGCTGCACCTGCTCTCCTCCTTTCATTTCCCTTCCCTACCTTTCCTCTCCCATCGCCCGTCGCTCTCCCACCCCCCTTCCCCCCCACTCCAGTTCGGGATCAGCATGGACAGGGCAGTGCCGCACGCGGTGCTGGGGGACCCATCCATGCTCCATGTTGCCATCCGCCCCATGCTTCATGCCCTCGTTCCCATGCATCTCCCTCTCCCTCCCCTCTCCCCCTCCCCAGTTCGGGATCAGCATGGACAGGGCAGTACCACACGCAGTGCTGGGGGACCCATCCATGCTGCGGCAGCTGCTGCTGCATCTGCTCTCCAACGCCCTCAAGTTCACCCACCAAGGCACCGTGCAGCTCACCGTTCACGTGCTGGCCCCTCCTGGCGCTGCTGCTGGTTCTGCTGCCGGTGCTGATTCTCTCGCTTCTTCCCTCTTCTCCCGTGTACCCCCCTCCCTTTGGCAGTTCGGGATAAGCATGGACAGGGCAGTGCCGCACGCGGTCCTGGGTGACCCATCCATGCGGCAGCTGCTGCTGCATCTGCTCTCCAACGCCCTCAAGTTCACCCACCAAGGCACCGTGCAGCTCACCGTTCGCGTGCTGGCCCCTCCTGGCGCTGCTGCTGGTTCTGCTGCCGGTGCTGATTCTCTCGCTTCTTCCCTCTTCTCCCGTGTACCCCCCTCCCTTTGGCAGTTCGGGATAAGCATGGACAGGGCAGTGCCGCACGCGGTCCTGGGTGACCCATCCATGCTGCGGCAGCTGCTGCTGCATCTGCTCTCCAACGCCCTCAAGTTCACCCACCAAGGCACCGTGCAGCTCACTGTGCACGTGCTGGCCCCTCCTGGCGCTGCTGCTGGTGCCGCTGGTGTTGCTGGTACTGCTGGTTCTGGTGGGGGAGTGGGGGCGGGAGGGAAGCAGAGGGGTGTGGGTCGAAGGGTGTCGCAGGTTATGGGCAAGGCAGGGGAAGGGCTACAAGGGGGCTTAGTGGGGAGAGAGTTGCAAGAGCAGGAGGGTAAACAGGAGCAGCAGCAGGCGGAGCAGGTGCAGGAACAGGAGCAGCAGGAGGAGGAGGCCTGTTCTGCTGCTGAATCTCAGGCGGTGTGGGGGAGGAGTGAAGGGGGAGCAAGTGGGAGGGAGAGTGGGACTCGAATCATGACTGTTTCAGAAGCCCAGTTGCTGCCGCAGGCTGCTGAGAGGGAGCGCAAGGAGAGGGAGAGGAAAGCGATGGAGAGGGAAGAGAGGGGGAGGGAGGAGAGGGAGGGGGAAGCGCGGGAGGCGGAAGAAAACGAGGGGGAAGAGAGAGACAAAGACGGACCCGGGACAGAGTTTAGGGCATCAAAGCAGATCACAAGGCTTTCATTTGAGGTGGTGGATACAGGAGTGGGAGTGCCGCCCAACATGCTGCATCAAATCTTCAAGCCTTTCGTCCAAGTGGACGACTCTGCCGCCCGGGAGTATCAGGGCCTTGGGCTGGGATTGGCTATTGCGCAATCGCTTGTGCGGCTTCTGGGCGGCGAGGGGATACATATTGAGAGCGAGCCGGATAAAGGGTCGTGTTTCGCGTTTACCCTTCCTTTTGAGGTGTGGAGAGGGGAGGCGAGGGGTGGAAGGGAGAAGAGGAGGGGAAGGGAGGGTGAGATTGTGGGAGGGGAGAGAGGGAAGGTGGAGGGAGAGGGAGGATCGGGGAGAGAGGTTCTCGAGGGGGGGTTCGGGGATAATGGCGGAGGGAGGGGCAAGCGAGCAAGGATAGTTGAGGAGAGATTAGATGCGGTGAGGATGGGTGGGGAGAGGTTCCAGTCGTTTGAGGCTGATACGGGGGAGATTGGTAGGTTTGTAGCAGAGGGGGGTGAGTGTGGGGAGAGCAGTAGGGCAGGGAAAGAGGGAGAGGACGCGAGGAAGGGAGTTGCAGGGAGTGTGAAGCGGAAGCGAAGAGAGGAGGGTGGTGATGTTGATGATGAGATGGGGATAAGGCAGGAGCGTCAGGGGGAGGAGGTGGGTGGAGGAATGTGGGGAGAGGTGCAGGGAGGGGAGTGGGGAGAAGAGGGAAGTGATGAGATGGAGGAGGAGAGAGGGAAGAACAGAGGGGAGGGGAGGGGGGGGAGTAGCGATGTATTGGCACAGAGAGAGGAGGCGAGGAGAAGGAAATGGAGGGTGCAACACGACAGGGGTTTTTTCAGTGGGGCAAGGCGTGCCAATAAGGGCCTTTTTGAAGCGCCTCAGAAGCAAGACCAGGGGTTTTCCAGTGGGGCTGGGCCGAGAGGGGAAGGGCGCTTTGCTGAATCGAACCCCTTGGGTGCCGCGCTGATCCGAACCACCAGCCCCATAAGCGCTGCTCTTCTCCGGTCCGAAATTCCTATAGGCACTTCGATAGGTGCTCCTATGGATGGTCCTGAGGGTGCTTCTCTAGGTGCTTCCCTGGGGGGTTCTCTGCGGGATTTCGCCAGTGAGCCTCTCTCACACGACCCTGAAGTGCAAGCCCAGGGCCATGGGCCTGCACCTGTGAGCACTGATGTCCCTGAGGGGGGGCGTACACCAGAGGGGTGTGAGGCTGCCGTTGAGATGCTGCCCATGCATCGGCCAGGCTCGGGTTTAAGCTCGGCTTTAGGTTCGGATTTAGGCTCAGGAAGCTTGGGGTTGGGGTCGGGGTTAGGCTTTGGCTCAGGCTCAAGTTTAGGCCGGTCAGGATTAGGCCCAGGGTTGGGGTCAGGCTTGGGGTCAGGCTTGGGGTCAGGCTTGGGGTCAGGCACGCTTGTGGAGCCTTCACAGCCAGTGATGCCACGTCAACCTGGCTTGGGTGAGAACTTTCAGAGAACATTCGTCTCTTCTCCTGCCAGCCTGGCAGCAGATGGGACCACTGCAGCTACAGCAGCGGCTGTAGCGGGTGCGTCCTCTCTCAGGAGTTCCCAAGGAGCAAATGCAGCCACCGAAGGAAGAGCAGCTGTTGCAGTGGGAGCAGCAGCTGTGTCAACAGAAACCTCTAATGCACATCAAGCAGCGGGTGCTGGGCGACATGGCGTGGTGGTAGGCAGCGAGGCAGTGAATCGCAGTGTGTTACAGCCAGTGGCAGCGGCGGCAACAGCACCAACAGCAGCCGCCGTAGCAGGTGTAGCAACTGTAACACGCGGCAATAAGGCAGGGCCGGCAGGCACGGCGGGTGCAGGAAAGACAGGCGCGGGGCTGAAGTGCCTTGTGGTGGACGACAACGCAGTGAACCGCAGCGTGCTGCAGCGGCTGCTGCGCTCGCTCGGAGCAGAGCAGCTGGTGTTGGCCCGCAACGGCGCAGAGGCAGTAGCGGTGTGTGAGAAGGATGGAGAGGGGTTGGATGTGGTGTTTATGGATCTGCACATGCCTGTCATGGATGGGTTTGAGGCGTCAACGCGGATTCTCGGGCTTTGGAGGAGTCGGTATGGGTCTGATGCGGTGCCGCGGACTAGTAGCATGTCGCAGCAACAGCAGCAGCAAGTTCAAGCAGTGCAGCCCTTGCAGCCCCAGCAGGTGCAGCTGCAGCAGCAAGATTATTCATTCCGGTACAGGCCGCTGCTTGTTGCAATCACGGCAAGTGCATTGGAGGAGGAGGAGGAGAAGTGTAGGAAGGTGGGAATGGATTTCTTTCTCACTAAACCAGTGAGATTAGCTTCTCTACGAAGTCTTCTCGACCATGTGAAAGCTGGCAAATAACTAGGGTAGTTTCTACCCTCTTCCCAATGTATTTCGCCTTTAGATGTGATGGGGTTGTATCTAGGCCTTGCTGAGTGAGGTGGCATCTTTGTCGTTCTAAACTCCGCGTGATTTGTTTCCATTGGAAGTGGGTGTCGGCCGTTCTTACACTCCCGTTGTATAAAGTGTCCTGAAGTGCAAGCCGAAGCAGATTATATTAGGCTTGAAAACAGCTCAATGTAAGAACTTAGAGGGTTCATTAACAGCCGGGTATCGATAAAGCGTGTTACGCCCTTACTGGAGAACCTTAATACGAAGCGGAGTCATCATTGCACTTCGGTGTTTCGCGAAGGCCAACACTCAAGCGCGCCACGAGTCAGAGAGAGTCGCAGGCCATCGCCCATTGGCGGAAATTAGGTTTTGCGACTGCCTTGGGATCGTCGGAGCTCTACCTGATGGACCGTTCATCCAGCCCTGGCGTCCCACCTGATTGGATCTGGTCAACCCTTTCTTGTCCAATCCCCTCATGACCTTCCCATTTCTATTGCTGCTTGAAATGCTAGCAGGAAGAAATTGTTAGTCTGTTCTGTGAAATTGCTATTGCTGGATTCTTCCTTCAGCTCGGGTCCTCAGAAGCCCTAACCTGGTCAGTGCTCAAGACCGATTGTTGATGTCGCTTATGTGTTTCCAGCGCTTGTCGCATTCATCATGGGTTACAGATCCGTTACTTTGGTTAGTTTTTTGGGTTATCTGGTAGCTCTTCTTACCTCCTGTTATTTTTGTACGTGCAGTTACCATGGAGGCCTTCGCCACGCCATACCCGATTTTCTTTTATGATGGAGAGAAGGACGTGGACAAGGGGGTTGTTGGAATTCATTCCTGTTTGACTTTCAAGCGGTTCCAGTCCATGGCTGGACAGAAGGCCGGTCTTCCTCCAGCCACTCTATCAACGGTGCTAGTTTGTAGAAAGTCTTCTGGCAACACGGAGAAGAAGCAAAAGCTTCCTATTAACGAGCATACAAACTTCAGCATTATCCTGAACCAGCATAATCCAAGTCGCGAGAGGGATTGCCATTTTCTTGTGTCCTTGAAGAAGTCGAAGAAGGAAAGAAGAGCAGCGAAGAAGAAGGTTACAGAACCAGAATATGTTGAAGCGGAGGGGTCTGTTGCAGCTTCGAGCACGCCATCTTCACCCAAGAGCGTGGATGATGTTTCTCTATTCAAGGATAAGCCGGACTCTAGCTCGTCTGACGACGAGGCAAGTGACTCTCGTTCTGGGGAGCATCAGAAGCAGATACCTTCTTTTGACAAGAGTTCCTCAAATAATGAGACGAGACACGCAGCTGTGGAACCATCTCAACAACCAGTTTCGGTGTGGACGACTGGATCTGCGTTGAAGATTTTGAAGGGTCAAGAGGCATCGAAGACTGCATCAGTGCAAGAAGAAGCCGTTAATAGTGGATGCGTTGCTGCTGGCGACATCGGTGCAAGAGGTGTTTCTGTTCAAGGGAAACCGCATCCATCTGTTACAGCACCCAATTCTCATGCAGGTTCTCCAGGCTTACCTGTTACGATTCTCAACAACCCACTTGACAGCAACATGCGGTCTTCTTCAGATGGTCAACGAACGATGGATGGTCTAGCGGACTCAAGGGCTGGACATCCCGTTGCCAGAGTGGTCCCAACAGCTGACAACTTCACAGCAAGTACTCTGGCCTCTGCAGCAGCTGCAGCCTCTGCTGTGGTCCAAGCACACTCATTTCAGCCTTCGCATGCGATTCCTGCTGGTGGCTTTTCACTGTTTGGACCTGATTTAAGCAGCGTTGCTTTGGGCAACATGTTCCACAACGCTATGGCACTGGACTTTAGATTTGGGATGCGAAAGCTGTGCCACTTCTGTTCTTTCTGCCAGGAGAGGCGCATCGTGTCGGTGCCTTTTCACTGGTGCATGGATGACCAAGTGGTGACAGGGTTCAAAGGCCCTTCACCAGCAGGGCCCATTGGAAGACGACACAAGCAGCACAGGGTGGGAGTAATGGCATAGTCTGGTTCCTGCTGTTTGTTGGTTTGGTATATGCTGTATATTTGGACACTGTCAGTGGGAGGGTCCTTTCATTGTTTGAGCTCTTGTATGCAATCTTGTTAGGCAGCATAAGCCACAGCTTTTCTCTTGCAAAGTATTATTATGTCTCATGGTGATTGAAAGAAAGCGGCGAGTAGGGAGAATGTTGGCAAATTTTAGCACCTGTATGAGGTGCTACGTGTGTGGTGTAGATACATGCTTCACGAAAATTGTCAACATCAGCCGTTACGCGAAAGGCGGGAACAACGCTAACGGGAAGGCGTCAGAGTATTGCGAACCCCTACACGAAGTTCGTGGCCAATCCGATCTGCTTGCGCCAAACCATTTTCGGCCGGTTTTCGTGAGCCGTCAAGCTCCGGCAGCCCCCACAACCTCCACGCGGTTCGAGCCATCACATGAGACATTCGAGAGCATGTCGCACATTCGTCAAAAGCCATCATGCCTTGGAAATGGATGGAAGCAGTTATGGCGGGAGGGAGCTACTGCTGAGCTGAACTCTCGAATGCCGCATGCAAGCTGAGTTGGGGGCATTTCAATCGTCAATTCAGCTGCAACTCACTCACAAGACAAGACAATCTCAAGGGTGGATAATTTCAGTGCTCCTTTTCAGCTGAGACCTAACACAGCACTGCGTGAAGCTTCATTTCAGAAGGAATCGTCATTTCATCGTCAGTGCTGGAAATCCATGGTCGTCCGAAGGTCGCTGCTCTTCCCACGCGTGCTAGCTCCGAACTGACCTTATTTCCTCGCATCCCTTTTGCGTAACCTCCGTTACCGTTTCGCCCGCGAGTCTTTCCGTCATAACGGTAATCACCTCTTGTGCGATGTAACCATGGTTTCCAGTATCACATTATCGACTTTCCGCGTACGTCCCTAGTATTCTCGAGGTGGTCCTAATCCGGGAGAATACATCTCGAAAGCGTTATACTTGTTTAGTGGCCTCGCAGTGAAAGGTATTAGAAACTTTAGGACGCATCTCGAGTCGACTTGTTATGGAGGGCGACTCGTATTTCCCGTTAGGCACTCCGCCAATTCGGAAGGTCCCTACTGGCGCGGCCCGCCATGGCGGACGATCCGCGGTGGCTCCGCGCAAGCGCCGCCGCATCCTCGACCCCGCGCACGTGGACGTCGCCGCTTCCCCCGGAGAAAGCCCCGAGCGGCGGCCTTTCGAGTCCGACACGCCGACTCGCAACGCGCCCCACGCGCTAATCAAAAGCGCCCCCGGCGCTTGGGTTAGAAACGCGCCTGGCGCTGCGCGCGGGGAAGGTTTGTTTTCCGCGGAACAGACTGGCGAGGGTTTGTTGTCCGGTCGCCGTGTGTTGTTTCCGGACGGGAAGTTTGACGGGGCTGGAAAGGGGAACGGCGGGAGCGAAGTGGGGACGGAGGGGAAGGGCACCGAGGGAGTCGCGGGGAAGAACGCATCGGGGGAAGTTGTTGGCGCAATGGTGGGATTGGCGGTTTACCGGCGACTGGCGTTTGGGGACGAGCGAGCGGAAGGGCGGGAGGGTAGCCGAACGACGTTTAACGCTGATGGCGAGGCTGAACGCGAGAGTGAGCAAGAGGACAAAGCAGGCGAGGGCAAGACCGATAAGGCGGTAGAGGAGAAAGAGAGGGAGGTGGAGGAGGAGGTAGAGGAGGATGAAGTGGAGCTAGAGATTGTGTATGAGGAAGAAGGTGAGGGGGGGAAGCAGACAGAGGAGGGTGGCGAGGAGGATGTGAGAGGAGGAAGCAAGGGAGATGGGGAAGAGAAGGATCGAGAGAAGGAGGTCAGAACGAGGAAAGATCAGCTCAAGGTCTCAGGAGACCCAGGGATTGCCAGAAGCGCCGCTGCCGTTGTTCCTGCTACCAGTGCTGCTGTTACCGCTGCCGCTGTAGCCGACAGTGCCGTGACTCGTTTCTCGTCGTCTAATAACGCGGACGGGGATGACCTATTCCGCTGGAACCGCATCCATAGAGGGAGCACCGGGCCCGGGGGCCGCGGAAGCGGATCCAGTGGGCCCAAGACACGTGGCGAGGTGCTGGCAGCCATGGTGGGCGTTCAGATGCCACGTGAGCAAGGGGTACGAAGCATGGCGCCGGATATGGAGGGGCGGGTAACGGCCGCAGCAGCAGCTGCAGGGGGGGTGAGAAGTGGACGGGCTGGTGTGTCCCCGATACAGTCACCTTCGAAAGGAGCAGCTATTAAACGTGCAGTGAGAGGGGATATAGGTGCAGAAGCAGGAGGAGGAGCAGGAGCGAGGGCAGCGAGAGCGGCGGCAGGGATGGCAGCAGCAACGGTGGCGGCGAAGGAGGAGGCTGCCGAACTTCCACCACAGTGAGTCCCTCGCTCCTTCCCGTCTTAAACCGTCTTGAAAAGGCCTGAACCGCCCAGTATCCTCCAGTATCGCCCTACCCCCTGTTCTGTCCCGTGTCACCCTGTACCCCACTGTACCCCACTGTACCCCCCTATCTTGGCCTGTTCTTCTCCATCCTTTTTTCCAGACCTTTCCTCCAGTCCCCGCTCGTTTTAGCCCTTCTCCTCCTGCCTTGGGATCCACCATCGTTTTGCCTTTCCCGCCCCTTTCTCCGCTTCTCCTTCCCCTTCCCCTCCCTGCCCCCGTCTTTGCCCCCTTCCTCTCTCCCGTGAAATTTCCCAAAACGTCTCTCCCACCTCTTTCTACAACTGAGAAGGTTCCTGGAAATCGCGCAGCTGTTCGACGCGCTGGAGCTGAGCTGCCGCCTGCTGCACGCGAGGAAGCTTCTGTGCTCCTTCCGGGCGATTAAAGACGCGGTGCAGGACGTGACTAAGAGGCGCTTCACTCAGCGGCACCTGGCGCAGATGTTGTTCGTGGGGGGCGGAGGGGGAGGGGCAGGGGGAGGGGGAGGGGGAGGAGGGGGAGGGGCAGGGGGAGGAAAGGGGGGAACGGGAGGAGTTGGCGGAAAGGTAGAAGAGGGAGGAGGTGGAGAAGGGGTAAAGGAAAAGGAGAAAGGAGGAAAGGAAGGGAAGGACATATCACTGAGTCCTGTTGCACTTAGCGAAACAACACTTAGTAAAGCAGATGCTTTCAGCAGGGTATCTGCCCGCCAGGCTGTGCTAGGCGTGCCGCTGCTTAGAGTGGAATCGGTTCTTCTGCCCGAAAAAAACTCCTCTCCTGTGAAATTCTCAGGGGCGGCAGGCAGGGCGGCAAGGTTTGGACGTAGCGTGTGGGATCTGAAGATTGTATTGGAGAACGAAGGGGAAAGGAAGGAGGACGGTGGTGAAAGTGATATGCCTGCAGCTGCGGATGGTGGTGCTATTAGCGGTAGTGGTGCAGGGGGCGATGGAGGGATAACAGGAGGCGGATTGGCAGCAGGCATGGCAATAGGCACAGGCATGGCAGGAGGGAGGGTGAGGAGCGAAGAGAGTGACATGCTGTGGCGGAAAAGAGAGTTCCGAGCCAGGCTGGGGAGACTGGCTCGTGCCATGGGGGCAGTGGGAACGGACAAGGATGTGACTGCAGCAGATGTGACTATACCGGAGGAGAGTCTGCCAGACCCACTCTCTCCCTCCCCGGCATCAGCTTTAGAGTCTCGTGCATCTGTTAATGCTCATGCCACTCACTCTAGTCACACTCATTATAGTCACACTCGCTCTACTCACCCTGTCAGTCGCAGGAGTCTATTTCCTGAAGCATCCACCAACCCTTCCTTTGCCGAAGCTGGTCTAGGCTCGGCGCCAACAGCTGCACCCTTTGCCAGGCCTGTTTTGCAGGTGCGGCCAGTTTCCCCAACCCATCGCCATCGGCCTGCTTCGGCAGATAGGGTCGGCAGGAATCCGAACCCAGACTTGGGCGCTCGTGTGCGGGTGGACCTCACTCCATCGTTGGATCGGTTGGCTCGCCGGACCAACGTGGGAGGTTTGGCAGGAGCAGCCGAAGCTGGGTCCGAGCAGGCTAGGGCAGCACGGCAGCTGCTGTTTGGAGGAACAGCTGAGGTTGCTGGGGCTAGTGGTGGGGCTTCAGGTGCATCTGGTGCTGCTGGTGCTGCTGGTGCTTCTGGTGCTGCTGGTGCTGCTGGTGCTGCTGGTGTTGCTGAAATAGCCAGAAAAGGAGTTGAGGAGGGAGAGAAGGAGGTGTGGGGTGGTGATGTGGTAGGGGAGCTGGGCTCACTGCAGCAGCAGGGAGTGGGGGAAGGTGGAGAACAAGATGGAGCGGTCGGGAGGGGTGGAGGAGACAGCGATGGGGAGGGTGGGGGAAGTGACTCGGAGATCCTATCTCGCCTGCCCCAAGGGCTCGTGCACTCGGTGCGTCAACCTTTCTCACATTGCAGTAGTGTGCTGCGAGTGTAACTTCTTCTGCCTCTAGCCTCCAACACTCCCTTCCTCACTCCCTCTTCTCATCCTTCACTCATCCTTCCGAACCCAACTTCCAGGTTCGAAAGCGTGAGGAGAAGCAGCGTGCCGAGGCTACGGACGAGGCTCGGCAGGCGCGTCGGCGGCGGCTGCTACTGGCCGAGCTTCCTCTCCTAACCGATATGGTAGTCGCTCTCTTTGCCAGCTGTCGCGCTGCCGTGCTGCCACATAGGGACCTTGTGGTCCGGCTGGTGGCCAATCACAGCAAGCAGACCAACCAAGGTATGATCTTGTGGGGTACAAGAATTTATATCACCATGCGTAATACCTCATGTGACCGTGAAAATGCTGAGTCACCTCTCTGTTCTCTCATCACCTTACCAGATTTGTTGCAAGTTTTTTCCACGATTGACAGCGTTGGGTGGTTATGCCTCTAATCCCAGTGTTTCATGTTATTTCTGACCCCCATGCTTCAGAGGAGATTGAGGAACAGTTGAAGATTCTAGAGGAGATAGCGCCAGATTGGTTGTGCGCTAAGATGTCCCTTCGAGGGGAGAAACTATATCGGTAAGTGCATTCGTTTATGAATTAAATTCAATCATCTCTCTGCCTTCGTAGTTGCTGTGGCAGGTAACCATGATGCTGTTTTAGCTACAGTAAAAATGCATGTGGTAAAAATGCTTGGCTCGGATAACTGATGTTGCGTCTGGGTATGTCATGGTTCGTCTTGCCTTGCCCACAGATTGTCCAAGGTGGTGATGGCCGCACACGTGGAGGCGCGGGTGAAGGATGAACAGAAGCTTGATCCAGATCACCACCAGCACGCACCATCACGCCGTTCTATGCATGGTGCTTCCGAGGTTAGAAGGAGCTTGTTTTAGTAGGCTCGAGCAGGGAATGAAGCGTCTCCCAAAAGGAAGGGTTGGATAGGTTCACAAGGCATGTTTACTAATAAATCAGGTGCATAGGTTCACAAGGCCTGTTGATAAATACATGCATAATTCCAACTTATCTGAAGGTGTATGGGGGTGGGAGAATGTACATGAGTATTGAGAAGTACACCCTGCTTCTCGCTACACCGAACTGTGCCGTACAGGTGGAAAACCTTGTTATCTCTGATTTGGTTTATTGAACCATACCGAAACGTAATTTAACCACCGTTAACCGTGCTTTTCCCATCTTGAATTCATTATAACCGAATCCACAATGGCGAGAAAGAGGGTGTAGTAGAGTTTGCTGCTGTTTTAGGTACCGGTACACGTGTCTAGATTTTGTTGCTAAATTTACTGTGCTATACAAACGAATTCGGAGGTTCAGGGTTTGTGTTGTACGCCATCAGAGCGGATCGTCCGAGGTGGCACGCTGCGGAAGCTTGTGCTGACAGCAGATCGTTTTCCCCACGCATGGCGTTCCACAAAAGGGGGAACGCGCACATTTGACCCGCCTTCCGTTTGATACCAGCAGAAAATCGTCTCCCGCTCCGTGGTTAAAAGTGATTCTCTGCAATGCTGCGAGTTCTACTACGTTGGGATACGGTTTGTTGTCGGATCTTGCTGGTTGCCTTTGTGCTGCCGTTTCAGAATTCCACATCTGCTTCAGATTCAAAAGCTTCTCTGAAAACGGTTTCTGAGAAGTCCATTTCTGAGCTTTGTCATTCTGGAGCTGCTGCTTCTTCCGCCGACCTCCATACGTGCCAGACCCCTCAGCTTCAGCAGCAAACAAAAACAGACACAATGACGGTCAGTGATGGTCACATCCACATTTTTCCGTGTCAAGTTCTGCCTTTGTCTGTCTTACTCCAGTTGACAGAGATTCTGCTTCTCGGGGCTCCAGTTCCGTCTCTTTGTGCAAGCAATGATGTTATCTAACGCGATCCCTTTTTCTCGGTTTCAGGAACGATCCTACGTCATGATCAAGCCCGACGGCGTTCAACGCGGCCTTGTAAGTCGCACTCCGTACCTCTGAAAGTTCTGAAGAACCCGACGTGGTTTCGATCAAACTTCTTGCAAGCCATTGTTATATGCTGTATGAACTGGCTGCTTGAGAATCTCAAGGGACCGATTCGACCTGTTAATTGCTGCCCCTTCGAGAGTTGCTGTCATCTTGATCCCTCACATTGGACTCCCCAACCTCCTTCAAATCCCGACCTTCCCTAGAGGAACCTCTGCTCATACAGTCCCTTGGGATTTTGTCACTTATCTTGCGCGCAGGTCGGGGAGATCATCGGCCGGTTCGAGCGCAAGGGTTTCGTTCTGCGAGGCCTGAAGCTGTTCCAGTGCCCCAAGGAGCTGGCCGAGGAGCACTACAAGGACCTTGCCGACAAGCCCTTCTACAAGGGTCTCGTTGACTACATCATCTCCGGCCCTGTTGTCGCCATGGTATGTTCAACTCTCGGTTGTGCTACAGTATCTTGCGGGTTTAGAGAACTGGGAATTTGATATCTGAATGGTCAGGTTTCAGGCGTGGTGTGTGCAGTTCCATATATACGGATACAGGACAGAATCTCATTCTAAGCATAGACATATCGCACCACACTCCCGCGAGGCTGCAACTTCCGCATGAGCACATATAAAAATCGCATCATTAACTAATTTGAACATCACGCTGTTGTCTTGCAGGCCTGGGAGGGCAAGGGTGTGGTGGCTTCAGCTCGCAAGCTGATTGGCGCCACCAACCCCCTTGCTTCCGAGCCCGGCACCATCCGTGGTGACCTTGCAGTCGAGGTTGGCAGGTAAGGTTTCTAGTCCTCGTCATCTTATCATCATTTGCTGCATGCGATTGGATCTGCCAGCGTTCTTTTGGTCGATCACATTATACGGTATCAGCACCTTGTTCTCAAGTGTTTTTATACGTCTCTTCTATTCAATATATTCTGCTCTTGCCTAACAGGAACGTCGTGCACGGGAGTGACAGCGTGGAGAATGGCGAGCGTGAGATTGGTAAGTACATGATTCCTGCAAAGGTTTCTGAACATTCTCGACATGACCTGTAGATGTTCCCATATCGCAGTGAATGAATTCGTGCTCTTGCTGAACCAGACTTTCAGCCCTTTGGCCTGAACCTCAATCCAACTTGTTTCCATGCGCTCTCTCACGTTGGCAGGCTTGTGGTTCAAGGAGGCAGAGCTGATCAAGTGGGACCCTACACTTCTCCCTTGGCTGCGCGAGTAAAGCGTGAAGCAAGCTTAAAATACAGCTGGATTGCATTCAGCTTCACCAATTTGCATAGAGTGTTGTCTTCGGTGTACTAATACAAAGCCATGAGACAAATCACTTGCTTTTCAAGATGTGCGCCAATTAACAATTGTTCAGATTTAATTGGTCCTATAATGACATGGAGCAGACAAGGCATGATTCCTCCAGAATCAGCCAAATCTACGGGACCTATCGTGAAACAAGCAGAACATATAGAATCATTGTCTACAAATTTCCAGATGATTAAGTTAGACCAGTGAAACTAGGGTGTCAGTAGTGAGTGAATAGAGGCTGCAGAGGTTGTGGTTTCTATTACTGAGCAGACAATGAAACCTAGCTATGATATAGCAAGGGACCCAGCTAGGTGCAGACAACCATTACCAATTTTGCCCTCTCTCGTGTCTGCCTTCTGGATCGATAGTTGGAATCGCACGCACATGCACCCGTTGTTGGATTGACAAAAAAATGGCTGTTCATGAACTTGCATTGCATGATCATTATTGACAGTGCAACTTGATCAGTTTCAAAGGCCTGGAACACATCACTCCCTCAACCACGGGGTTGAAACAGGCTCCCAGTCGCACACCTCACCCTCCTTGAACCAGAGCCCTGCTCAGAGGGGTATAAAATGCATCCAGGGGAGAGGGAGGAATGCGATGGGGTGCATGGGAGTGATGCAGGCATACAGTATAAGAAGTGGCCAAACATACTCGCATTGAGCTTGACACGGAAAGAGAAATAGGCACAGAAATGTCACCAAAGCCGGGGGAATGTGGAGAGTAATTGGACAAACAAGGGTGAGATTCGGGAGGGAAGAGAGATGGAGGGTGCAAATTGGCATAACATAAGTAGATGAGAGAACTCACCAATTTCGCGCTCGCCATTCTCGATGCTGTCACTGCCGTGGACAACATTCCTGGATATACAGAACAGGCACGGAGAATGTGTTGGTTATCTCGAATGTCTATGGCCTGAACAGATTGTTCTATCAGAGCAAGAGACTGCGTGAGCATTCCATGAATGCATGCCCTGATTCTAGAGTAACCATACCTGCCAACTTCCACTGCAAAATCACCACGGATGGTGCCTGGCTCCGCAGCCAAGGGGTTCGTGGCGCCAATCAGCTTGCGGGCTGAAGCAACCACTCCCTTGCCTTCCCATACCTGCCAGAAACAGGAAAGCGGAGTGGTACGAAGGTCGAAGTAGATGATCCAGGAACGATTGCCAGAATGCAGAATGCGGGCAGGAAATGTGAAGTTACACATTGGTTCATATCTTACCATGGCGACAACTGGGCCTGAGATGATGTACTCAACCAGCTTGCCATAGAAGGGCTTGTCAGATAGCTCCGTGTAGTGCTCCTGCTCATGGATGCGACAAGGGGGAGGGGAGGGGTGAGGGGGGGGAGGACTTTTAGGTGGCGAGAGTATTGAGTGATTACAGAGGAGCCAAGTTGTGGTGATTCGATTGACGTGCCAGTTCTAGATTGCTCGCCGCTCTCTCTCCTTTCCATGCTGGCAACTCGAAACTGTGTCGATAGCACATTGTACCGCATCACCCCCTAGCCATCATACAAACTCTCACCTTAGCAAGCTCTTCAGGGCATTGGAACAGCTTCAGTCCACGGAGGACAAAACCCTTCCGCTCGAACCGAGTGATGATCTCACCCACCTGCAATCACCATGACGGGCACCGAGACAAGAAATGGAATCAAATAATGTAATGCAGGAACTTGCTATTCGCACAAATGTGAGCGTCGGTGATCAATTGCGCTCCTGGAAACATGATAAAGGCGAGCTTTGACTCACCAAGCCTCGCTGCACGCCGTCGGGCTTGATCATTATGTAGGATCGCTCCACAGCCTATGGTGGGGAAAGCATGAGGGAATGTCACGCAGATCGCTGAGCCATGAGCAATTGATTGTCAATAAAAGCAATTATATGAATCTCATTTGTGTGTTTATAGAAGCTGGGCAAGGTAATGACATTCGTTAAAGAGCTCTTGATTTTTTTTTGCAAGTAACCTGCATATTGCTTGCTTAATTGATCTTACTGACGCACTGATTGAACAAGGCCTGTGCACATACCTCCGCCATTGCAGAGGTAGCTGCAGCCTTGCGGACGATGCGCTTGGAGCTCGCCTGAGAAAAACGAATCGAGTTCACAGATATAGAGGTGTGCTTCAGAGCTGAAGAATGCTCACACTGCGCTGTTCTCCTGACCCATTCATAGAAGTTTTAAGAATGAGAAAGTAGTGGGTGAATCTTAGCGACAGCGGGCCAAATTTACCTTGGCCACTGCCTGTCTAAGCTCCTGGCTGCGCCCAGTCAGTCGTTTCTCAGCAGCAAAGCTCAGCCTGCCACCAAAGCAGACACTAGCTCTCACAGACGCATTCGTGCGAGTCTCCTGGCAGGAAGCCAGGGAGGCGACAGTGGCTGCAGGCCGAGCAGACAAAGTGGCTGCCATGACGAGGATCCGGAAGTTAGGTTGACGCGACTACGAGAGACTTACGTCCCCAAAAGGTATGGGTTTGGTGGTACAACAGTTGAAGAAAAGCTTATGGCTTCAGGAATCAGAAGGAACTACGACATCTTGGAGCAACTGCAGGTAATTTCTCAGTCGCTTTCGCTTTCGCTCGTGGCTGTTAGTATTCTGCATTTCGCACAATGCTGTTCGCATTATGCCTATCCCGCTCTGCTTTTCGCATTCTGCTTTTCGCCCTTCTCCATTGCATTTCGCAATTTGCCCTCCGCATTTCAAACATCGCACCGAACAGAATCTGATCTGACCATAATATGTTGGCATTTCTAAATGTTGCAAATGGATTGCGTGCCAGGTGGATCACCACGTGGCGTGAAACCAAACCTCCAACCTAATGACGTGGTTCTTCTGGTCCTAGCCTACGTGGACAGTTTGGATCCGTTACAGTCCCTCTCGTGCTTGGAGAAAAGCCACTTCCAGAGGTTGTGATGAACCATGCCCACACAGTCTGGCAGTGGAGGTTTCGAGGGGTGACAGCAGCCAACGTCAGCTGTCACCGAGGAGACTGCTGCTGCAACTTCCTTCCTCGTCGGCACCACGTGCCAGAAAAGTGCCACCGAGAAGATCCTCCTTAGCCACAAGCAACCACGCCGACGTGACGTGGCCGTAATTCCACTGGTCAGTCAGGGAGCGGGCACGTTTTCCTGACTCTCTCCACGAAAGCCCGTAAATCACTCAAGTCAGTCTGCTGAATCCGCAATTTCCTTTGCGGTGGGTAGCACGAACAAGGTACACTGGAAACATCTACAAATGTTGACAACGTAAACGTTTCTTGAGGGCAAAGTTCCTCGACGTGGGTGGTGTCCCCTGGATTGCTTTTGGGTCTCAGTGCCTGAAATTGGAATAATCTATTGGACTCATGGAAATAGAGATATAGAACACGTTTACTTGTATTTATGTGACCTCTGGTGTAAGTTACTCTATACAATATCTGTAGAGAACTCCCATCCGCGATTCCATCACCTTCTGACCAGCCTGGCAGGAGGTTTCCAGATGATTCCTCCATTTCGGGAAAAGATGATCCGCCAGCGGCATCGTGCACACCTTCCCGCTGTTGTCCCTGGATTCTCCGTAGGTCACTGGTTCACAAACAAATGTAGAAGTTCCCTACGCATATTCGTCAATCAGACAACTAGCATCTTCCACTCGTTCCTTCCATCATCAACCCCTACAGCTGATTCCATTCTTTCCGTGATCACTAGCAGGCGGTGTTCCTTTCGCATATCTGATCAGCTCCCTCAGTTGACATTTTTATTACTTCCTCGTTCTACACACCACAATGGCCCTCGCCATGTCACCTGCTAAGGCTCTTTCTTCAGCTTTGACTTCGTCCTTCGTCGGGCGATCCGTATCATCGGTGGCGTCTCCAGTGCAAAGACCCAACTCCTCCGCGATTCAGTCTCTCATTCGTGCGGAGCTAATGTCTTCCGATAGTGCCCCCTGGACGGGCGACTCGTTACGATCAGAGTTCTCTTCAGCAACTGCTCACACCCCTGCCCCTGGTCTTCATTCGTCAAAGCGATCTCCTACCACACCATCGGCGTCCCTCGCTGCCGTTGGACCACTTGACGAGGCTGGGGTATCTATCCGGGTGAATGACTCGGCTACTCCCAAGTTCACCCCTGAGAAAGCCAGGCTGCTGCGTTTGCGGTTGAAGGAGAGCGAGGCCCACCACGACAGGATGTACCACTCCGGTCTTGCTTCAAGACTCGCTTAAATTCGCTGCGTCCTTAGGCCTAGGTCGAGTTGTCTAGATCAACTGCTGCGTGACCAGTACACGCTTCGGCCAACTATGCTGTATTTGATTGATTAAATGTAGTCTTTTTGTCTATAAAACGTGTGCAGCTCTGAAATTTGAAAATGTATGAATATTGATTGCCCAGCTGAGTTCACATGCGTCCTCTCGGAGAAGCACTGGTACACAACATGAATCCACGGCTGATGGCAGATCCGTTCCATTCCAATGTTATCATAAGAATGTAACGCGACATAGCAGCCCCAATTCGCTTTCTGATGGATTGGTGCGTGGATGGAAGATACCACGCTGAAGATTGCCCCTGTCTGCACTATCACTGAACTGTGTAACAACTGGAACATCCTGCCATCACACCCCAGTTGCACGTGCGAGATTCGCCTTGCTACTACTCATCATGCTCTCGGCACCCGTGGTTGTGGTACTAATGTTTTGCCCTCTTTCATAACTCATGCTATTTCATCATTTCATCAGTACCCAAATTCCCAGTGCTAAGTGAGAAGATAGAAAGGCATCTGATTAGGTATATCCCATATAGGATAATTTAGATTGCGTGTAGGTAGGGAAACATAGAAGCCGCTATCTTTTTTAGTGGTCGCATTGAATTGAACATTTGACATTTTCAGTATAGAATGTGGATACAAGCTACATTTTCTGTAAGCATCCCCATTTGGAGTGTACAA